GGGGAGGGGACGCCGGGGGAGGGGCGGCCGGCGAGGACTGCACAGGAGGGCCACCAGAGTCAGAGGACTCCTCAACCGGGTCCGCCGACGGAAGGGGGGTGACGTGGGACACACCAGAGGGGGCGGGACGGGGAGGAGGAGGAGGAGGGGCAGGGTCTACCGGGGAAGGAGTGACCAGGAACAGGGGGGGGGTAACCGGGGGACCACGGTGGGGGAAGCGACGGTAGTAGGAAACGGACTCGTCAAAGGTGACGTCGCGAGAGTGAAAGAAGCGGTGAGACGGCGGGTGGTAAAAGTGCCAGTCGGACGCGTCAAGGGGAAAACCGAGGAAGACGCAGGGAAGGGTGCGGGCAGTGAGCTTGTCCGTGCCAGAGGCACGAACGTGAGCAAGGCAGCCCCAGACGTGGAACGCAGACGCGTCACCAGGAGACCCAGTCCAAAGACGGGTCGGCGAAACCTGCGGCTGCTGAGGGTGCGGCCACAAGTTAAGCTGGTGAGAAGCGTAGCGCACAGCGAACGGCCACAGAAAATGGGGTGCACCGGCATGGATCATGGAGGTGCGAGCCACCTCCATGACCAAACCGATGCGTCGCTCAGCGACCCCATTCTGCCGTGGGGAGTCCGGTAGGGTGAACGTCTGGGTGATGCCCTCCGCACGACAAAAGCGACCAAGGACACCTGAGGCAAACTCGCCACCACGGTCTAAGTGAAGACGCAAGACAGGGAGACTGCGGTGGACACGCGCAGAGACAAGCCAGGGGATGAGAGCGCCAGGCACGTCGGCCTTGCGCTCCAGGGGAAAGACTGTGGTATAACGAGTGAAGTCGTCGACAAGCACAAGGAAGTAGCGCTCTCGACGCGGCCCAGGGACGGGGGCGGGGTCCCAGACGTCCAGGTGCAGGGTCTGTAGCGGCGCGGCGGTAGGGGGAAAAGAGGAGGAGTGAGGGGCACGGCGAAGCCGACCCTCGACACAAGGTGTGCAAGGGGGGGCGGGGGAGGAGGGAAACGCGGGGAGAGAACCTGGGAGACCAAGGACAAGACCGTGCTGGGACATGTGACGCAGACGCGGGAGCGCAGGGTGACCTAGGCGGTGGTGCCAAAGGAGAGTCGGGTGAGTGAGGGACCGACAGGAGCAGGCAGCAACAACCTGGGTAGACGCAGCCACCTGAGGGGGCGCCCCAGCCGGGGGGGTCACGGTGTCCAGAGTGAACAGGCCGGACACCGGGTCCCGGGGGAACGTGGACAGGGGGGCACCAGTGGCGGCCTCGGTACAGACAGCATACCGCTCGTGACCAGGGAACGTAGTGGTGACGCCAAGGTCCTGGAGGCAGCCGACACCAACTAGGTTCCTGGAGAACGAGGGGATATGCAGACCTGTGAGGGAGCCCGAAGGAACCGCCGGACGGGGAACGGTGGTGGAACTGCGGGCGACTACCGGACCACCAGAGGGGTCAGCAAGAGAAACGGCAGCAGGAACAGGAAGCGGCGTCAGGGTGGTGGAGTCGCGGAAGAAACACCGAGAAGCGCCAGAGTCCAAGGTGAAGGAAAGCGAAGCAGAGGCGTCTGGCGACGGAACGACGGCGGAAGCACCAAGACTACACAAAGCAGAGGGTCCTACGCCTGACGCAGCAGGGGAGGCTACGCTAGGCACACCTACACTAGGCAACAGTGAGTAATAAGCTGGAAGCACACTAGAGTCATCAGCATACATCACATGCAGAGCAGAAACAATGGCATCCATGTCCATATCAAAGATCTGAATCTTACGACTAAGCAAACTATGCCAGTCCGGGAGGTCTGGCGACGGGCCGAAGGGCTGACGAAAGAGGTCGTCCAGGCGACGAAAACAGCGGGGAGTGGAGTGACCGATCTTACCGCAAACGAAGCCGCGGCGAGGACCGGTCTGGATCTGGTACTGACAACGCCCGCCGCCAGAGCCACCACTCGACACACCACCACGCGCCCGGCCACCGCCAGCGCCGGGCCACCCGGGCGGGAGGACACTCGTCTGCCGTGTCTGCGACGGCTGCTGCGGCTGCTGCGAAGGCTGCGACTGCGGCGGCTGCTGCGGCTGCTGCAACTGCAGGGGCGGCGGCTCAGCTAGACTGGGCAGGGTCCCCTCGTCCGCTCCAGCACCAGACGACCCGACCCCACCACTACCCCCTCCCGCTCCCCCGCCTCCGCCTCCGCCGCGCCCAACCTTGGGGCGCCTCCGCCTCCGCCGCTGAAGCAGCAGTCTCAGCCACTACGGCAGAGCCGTCGGAGAAGGTACACTGAGCGGGGGCACAACCCTGAAAGATAGGGACCGGCACGGCACCGCTCGCCTGGGCGATGGAGCGGTGACGGGTCTCTATCACAGTCAGGGTGTCTACAAAGTCAGTGAGGGTGAGGTCCGCGGGGTGAATGCTAAGGAAGCGGTCGCGGGCGACAGCAAGGCGGTCAGGGAGGCGGGTGGCAAGCAGGTAGAGGGTAGAGGTAATGGGCGGCTGGTGGGCTCTAAGCTGTGCGTCAGTGCAGGCGGCGCGCCAGGTCTCATCTATCGAGCGCAGGTGGGCAGCAAGGTCAGAGACAGTAGGGAAGGATGCAAGGTCAGGAAAGAGCATCGGGAGGATCAGGCGACCCACCGAGGCAGCCGGAGGGGTGGAATAGCGCTGGATGACAGCATCTAAGTATGCCTGAGCAGTGGTGAGGGACCTAAAGCGAGGGCGCTCGGACGGGGGAAGGGCGTTGCTAATGGCAAGCTGGGCGACAGCATCGCAAGAAAGCCAGACAGAGCGCGCGCGAGCAGTGGCAGCAGTAGACTCGTGCTCAGTGGGGGTGGAGTCAGCGGGCAAAATAGCAGGGGGGTCTGGGCAAGGGAGCGTACCGTCAAGGTGTGCGGAAAGCGGTTCACCATCCTGCCGCTGGCCAGTGAGTTGGCGGCGGAGGTCGGCAAGCCACGCCTCGAACTCCAGAGGCTGGCCTTCAGCGTCGAAGCGAAGCTCCGCCGCCATCAGGAACAGTGCAGTGCGGTTCAGGGCAGTGCAGCAAGGTGGAGTGCCGTGCCGTGCGGTACAGTGCGGTGCAGTGCGGTGTAGTGCGGTGCAGTGCGGTGCCAGGCAGTACAGGGTGGTGCGGGGCGGTGCAGTGCGGGGCAGTACGGTGCAGGGCAATGCAGGGCGGGGGGGGGGGGGGGGGGTGGGGGGGAAACCGTACCAGTGAGGAGGACCGGGGCCGGGGCAGGGACGAGCGCAGGGGCCGGGCCGGTGCAACGGGGCCGGGCGGGTGCGACGGGGCCGGGCGGGCGCGACGGGGCCGGGCTGGTGCGACGGGGCCGGGCGGGTGCGACGGGGCCGGGCTGGTGCGACGGGGCCGGGCGGGTGCGTCGGGGCCGGGCTGGTGCGACGGGGCCGGGCGGTGCGACGGGGCCGGGTCGGTGCGGCGAGCAGGACGGTGGCCCAGGAGGGGCACGGCGGGGCCATGGAGGGGGGGCGCACCGGGGCTGGGCGGGCGCGACGGGGCCGGACGGGTGCGACGGGGCCGGGCGGCTGCGACGGGGCCGGGCAGGGGGCGACGGGGCCAGGCGGGTGCGACGGGGCCGGGCGGGCGCGACGGGGCCGGGCTGGTGCGACGGGGCCGGGCGGGTGCGACAGGGCCGGAAGGCGTGACGGGGCCCAGGAGGGGGGCTCGACGCGGCCCAGGAGGGGTGCTACGAGGCCCAGGAGGGGCGTTACGGGGCCCAGGAAGGGCGGTACAGGGCCCAGGAGGGGCACTACAGGGCCCAGGAGGGGCCCAGGAGGGGCGCGACGGGGCCCAGGGGGGGCACTACAGGGCCCAGAAGGGGCGCGACGGAACCCAGGAGGGGCGCTACGGGACCCAGGAGGGGCGCGACGGGGCCCAGGAGGGGCGCTACGGGGCCCAGGAGAGGCGCGACGGGGCCTGGGAGGGGCGCGACGGGGCCCAGGAGGGGCGCTACAGGGCCCAGGACGGGGCGCGACGGGGCCTGGGAGGGGCGCGACTGGGCCCAGGAGGGGCGCTACAGGGCCCAGGAGGGGCGCGACTGGGCCCAGGAGGGGCGCTACAGGGCCCAGGAAGGGCGCGACGGGGCCCAGGAGGGGCGCTACGGGGCCCAGGAGGGGCGCTACGGGGCCCAGGAGGGGCGCTACGAGGCCTAGGAGGGGCGCGACGGGGCCCAGGAGGGGCGCTACGGGGCCCAGGAGAGGCGCGACGGGGCCTGGGAGGGGCGCGACGGGGCCCAGGAGGGGCGCTACAGGGCCCAGGAAGGGGCGCGACGGGGCCTGGGAGGGGCGCTACAGGGCCCAGGAAGGGGCGCGACGGGGCCCAGGAAGGGGCGCGACGGGGTTAGGGGGGTCGCGACGGGGCTAGGGGCACGACGGGGCTAGGAGGGGCGAGCGGAAGCGGTAGGTGGGGGGGGGATCCTAACCTACGCGTGATACCATATCAGAATTAGAGAAGTGTTATTGTTAGAGTGAGAGTACACAAAGATATACCTAAGTCTTGTACCCTCTAAGAGGTGACCCTATACAGTCTGTACAAACATAACAAATACACATGTTTGACAGTTAGAATACGAGAATGAATAGAAACAAGGGTGAAAAAGGGAGATATAAGGTTGGAGTTCTAAGAACACACACCTATCTAGCCTATAAATCTACATACAAATATATGTATAAGTTTACAAAATTAACGTTTGACATTAAAATGTATCTCCTGGCCTGACTTGTGCAATGGGAGCATTTCTAACGAAGATTCATCAGTCAATTGCGCTGGAAGTCCAATCGGCGAGGTGCCAGCCTGGAAACTTGCGGTTCTTACACGAATCGTGCTAGCGCGAAGTGTCAGAGAGCGCGAGTTCCGCTTCTGACAGGCACGAAGCGAGAAGCCTCGGTATTACCTGGATCCGCTACGTCATTTAGCGCAGTGTTTCACGAAAGAATACGGGGGAACTTATAGGTAACAGGTTTGTAGAAAGGAGGGGGGGCTATTATCGAATAATGCCTTTAAGTCCCAATGCACGAGTTAGAACCTGCGGGACTAATCCTACGGAGGGGCGTCTATCCGGGTGATCACGGTACATTCGCTTCTCGTATCAAAATTTGTACAAAATGCTACATGCATTCAGCCGCATCATGAGTCAGCCACCTTAGGTGCCTTTCAATGGCAATCCTACCGCCATGTATGTGGCATCCCGAAAAGAAAACCATAACCAACCAAGTCTTGAGAAGCTTTGCCAGCAGAATTGCCTGCACCCACGTGGTGTATCTCGTGCTGGAGGTGTAGGTGGTCGATCACTTCTGAGGGGCGACCCCCCATCCCTCTGTGAAATGGAGTATTTCCTGCCAGCTTTTAGTACTGTTTTCTCTCTCGATAAACCAAACTGGGACCACAGGGATATGGTGCCACCACTCCCGTAACCTCCTTACAATCCGCCTCGTTTGGTCTCCTTCTGGGTCGACTTAAAGCAGACCCTCTAGTAGAAGTCATTGGCGTCGTTCTCCCTCTCGATAAACCGCACCGGGACCACCGGAATATGGTGCCACCACTCCCGTAGCCTCCTCACAAGCCGCCTCGTTTGGTCTCTCCGGAACTCCAATTCTCGGGTGAACACGTCTCCAACTACTAGCAGCACCACTACTCGTATCGGAAGAACTGCAAGCAGGATGGCGAGGACTATGTGGGCGGCGATTAGCTCGTCCGTGGCGGTGGGGAGCTCGGATAAGGCAAGGGCTCGGGCTTTAAGAAGAGCTATGTTGAGGGCTTGTATGGCGGCTTCCACCTGAGTGAAAGGAAGAAAGGGGTTTGAAAGAAGTGAAAGAAGGACGAACAATGAAAAGAAGGGCAGGGGTTGACAGAAGGATGTCTGGAAATGGTGGGTACAAAAGGAGATGTGTCACCTGAAGCAACATGATGTTCACGTGAAGGAACAAAAGCCTCACCTGGTGCAACAGAGATAACACCTCAAGCAACGGAAACCTCACCTGAGCGAGAGCAGCCTGCAGCACGACCAGCTGCTCCACAGCACTCTGGTTGGGAGGCGTGATAACCACCACCTCGTTCCGCCGGTTCGGCGGGCGGCGTCTGTCGGACTGTTGCACGAAGCGGAGCCACATCATGATGACCGCGTTGGTCAGGAGGAGGAACGGGATGACGTACCCGAGCCAGTCCCTGAGGTTCGGATGGAAAGGGGTTGTGGGGGAAATGCAATTGTATTTCAGGAGGAGGAATGGTATGACATACCCGAGCCAGTCCCTCAGTTACGAAAGACCAATGGAAGGAACGTGGGAGAAAGATAACTGTTCATCACTTCAAAAATGCTATGGTAAAACAAAGAACGGATCAAAGGTGGAAAACATCAGAGCCCCCGTGGGTGGCACCTGTAGATGACGTAAAGAGCCAAGGCAAGGAAGACCATTGTCTTGACAGGTTCCTCCCATGACGCTAGGGATTGAAACCACTGGCCTAGAAGCATTGCTGGCACTAGCAGCTCCTGCGGTGGGGAGGGAAGAGTGGGGTACACAGAGCACCAAGGGTGAGCTTAGAAGCGCACAACATGCAAAGTATCACTCAATCCGTCTCCTATGTTGGAATATACGCACAGAAGGCTTTGCGTATTGCGTATATACGCTTGCGAATATACGCAATACGCTGATACGCTTGGAATACGCGATACGCGATACCCGGGCTGCCCGGCGAAAAAAAAAACTTATATTTTTTTTTTCCGCGACTTCGCGACGTCGCGGTTTTTTCGCCCATTCTTTTTTGCCCATAGCCCAGCCTGCTCTGTACGTGATTGAAAGCCATCCCGTGTTTGCCGTTCCCCATTTCCGTCCAAATCTCAGCTCTGAAGCGAAACGGTGGTGTGCTTAGCTAGGTGGCGGTGATTGCGCGAGTTACGGTGCTTGTTAGTCTTCTACCAAAGTGATGGGGGAGATGATGGGGGGGAGAGTCGAGCATTTGTGAGGAAAGGTTGGAGTTTGTAGATGGGTGGGAGTTCAGTGCGGTGAAAGGGAGGGAGTTGGTTGGCTGGAAGCCAATTTGACTTTGTAGACGGGGGGGTTGAGTGCGGTGAAAGGGAGGGAATTGGCAGGTCAAAATTCGACCCCTCAGAAAATGCCTCTCATTTGAGAGTCACGTTTTCAGAAACCCTAGCCTAGCCGCTACCATCATGGCTTCCTTGCTGCCCCCTGGTTTTGTTACCCTGCCCGGGCAAACCTTTTTTCCTGCCCGGGCATGCGTATTCCTGCCGTGTTGGACCCCAAATCCAAGCGTATAGCGTATATACGCAAGCGTATATACGCTAGCGTATAAAACGCAGTACGCGTATTTTCCAACATAGTCCGTCTCCAGTCGTCCGCCATCCATACTATCATTCGGCATACCATCGTACAGCTTCTCCTTCATAACACCATCCCTTCAAGAGTGCCACTCTTGAAACCATCTCCTACTTCATCAGCGCCATGTTGGTCCCGATGCCTTCCACCTTCACCTCCTCCACGGCCGCTTCACCTTGGCCACCTTGCTCGACTTGTCCCTCGAGTTCTTCACTGCCCGCTCCAGAGCCCCTACCTTCAAGTGTGGCACTCTTGGAGGTAAGAGCCACGCACAACGTGTTTTCAAGTGTGCACCTCTAGAAAACCGTCCCCTATCGTACCTTCATCAATGCGACGTTCGTCCCAATGCCCTCCACCTTGACCTCCTCCACGGACCGCTTAGCCTTGGCCACCTTGCTCGACTTGTCCCTCGAGTTCTTCACTGCCCGCTCCAGAGCCGTCATCTCCCCCACCAGCACATCCCCCACTGGCATGGACGGCCCCGCCCCTGCTCCCAGCGCCCCTGCTGCTCCCCCGCCCATCAGCCCTGCTGTGCCTGGTAGGAATGCAGCCACTGCTGCTGCTGCCGCACTCCCCCCTTGCTGCCACCTGCTGCCTCCCCCTCCCCCTCCTGCTGCTGCCGCACCTGCTCCTGCTCCTGATGTTGTACCACTCCCCCCTACTCCCCCACCCTCCTCCTCTCCCACACCCCCTCCCCCACCCCCGCCCCCTCCCCCGCCCCCCGCCCCGGCCCCCCTCCCCCTCCCCCTCCCCCCCCGCCACCCCCAAACCCAGCATTCCTCACTGCTGCGGCGGCCAACTCCCCTAACTTCTCCAGCTGCTCCCTATCTTTTCCCGGGCTGCCCGAGTCCGCACGAAGCACGCCCGCCATGGCCCGTAGAATTTTATCCCCGCCCGGGAGCTCATCCGCTGCTATGAACGTTAGGAGGCTCTCTGGCGCAGTAGGGAGCGCCTTCTGCAGCGCCCACACGGCTTTAAGACGCGCTATACCTCTGACAGCCTTAGCTACTGCCTGCCTACGAGCCGCGCCTTCGAGCTTGTAGGTGCGCACGAAGGAATGGACGGCTATGATCTCGCGGATAATGGAGAGCCAATAGTCTCTCCGCATGTGAGCTGTCAACTCGGGGAACTCCAGAACCACTGGTTCGGATCTGCAGTGGGAAACGGGTGTAGACAAAAGCAGGTGAATGGTTGGGGTGAGACCTGTAGCTAAGACAGCCAATAGTCTCTCCACATGTGAGCTGTCAACTCGGGGAACTCCAGAACTACAGGCTCGGATGCGGAGAGGAACGGACGATGGGGTCACATGGGAGGGGGTGTGGAGCAAGTCAGTGCGTGAGGGAGGTAGATGGTAAATGTGATACTGGAGAGCCAGTAGTCTCTCCGCATGTGTGCTGTTAGCTCGGGGAACTCCAGAACTACTAGTTCTGATCTGCGGGGCACAAGAGGATTGATGAAGAAGGGCGAGATGGGATGAGGAGAGGAGAACACACACCCACCCACTCACATGGCACATCGGATAACTTGCATCGCATGGCAATACTCACATGGCGTTGGATTTGTACATGATGGCTTTGTCGAACAGCTTGGCTCCCCACGGGCTAGTCAGGTCAGGCTTGACTGTCTGGTTGAGGTCAGCCTAGAGGTTTGACTTGGCTAGAAGGTTTTAGGGTTTCGGGCTTTACTCACATGGCGTTGGATTTGTACATGATGGCTTTGTCGAACAGCTTGGCTCCCCACGGGCCAGTCAGGTCCGGCTTGACTGTCTGGTGGAGGTCAGCCGACAGGTCAAACTTCTTTGCTGCGTCGTATGAGACGACCCCGCTGGGCTCGAAATACAATGCGGAATCTGTGAGCGTCAGGCGACCTGAGAAATAAGGTTGCAGAAAGGGGGAAAGAGAGAGGGTGGAGGGTCAGCAGAGAGGTCAAACTTATTTGCTGCGTCGTATGAGACGACCCCGCTGGGCTCAAAGTAGAGAGCAGAGTCCGTGAGCCTCAGGCGACCTGAGAACGATGATTGCAGAGAAGGGGAGAGGGGAGAAGGGGGGTCAGCCGAGAGGTCAAACGTCTTAGCTGCATCGTACGAGACGACGCCGCAGGGATCCAAGTAGAGAGCGAAGTTTGTGAGAGTCTACCGACCTGAGAAGAAGAGTGAGGGAGGGAGAGCCAGGAGAAAGTGGGGGGCAGGGGGGCAGTAGAGAGGTCAAACCTCCTTGCAACGTTGTATGAGATGGCGAAACTGGGCTCGAATTACCGGGCCAATTCTGTGAAGGTCAGCCATCCCTCACGACCCCCAACCCCAAAGGACTCAATCAACCCCAAAAGAATAATCCTTTTACCCTAAATCCCCAGGGTAATTGATGCTCGTACCCGGCCAGGCGCTGACGCCTATATGTTGCAGCACTGGCTGTGTTGCCTGTCCGTCCGTTTCTATCACTGCCTCCTCGCCCCTCACGATCCCGAGAGCTGAGGCCAGCGCCCCTGTGGTAGAGTTCTTTATTACCTTCACCGTCCTATTGAAAGGCGGAGGGGGAAGTGGGGGGGAAGGGGGCGGGGGAGGGAGGGGCTTATTTCCTGTGCCTGCCCATCCGTCTCTATCACCACCTTCCTCTCCCCTCACGATCTCTAGAGCTGCGGCCAGCGCCCCTGTGGTAGAAAACCTTATTGCCTTCACCGTCCTGTTGGGGAAAAGGAAAGGGAGAGGAGCGAGGGGGCATGCGCTTATTTTCTGTGCCTGTCCGTCTGTCTCTATCACCGCCTCTTCGCCCCTCACAATTCCCAGACCTGAGGCAAGAGCCCCTGTGGCAGAAGTCCTTATAACCTTCATTGTCCTGTTAGTTGGGGGGGAGGGGATGGCGGAGTAGGGGGGTGTGGGGAGGATGCGGAGCACCCATGGACTATGCCAGCTCACCCTGCACGATCCCTAGAGCTGGGGCCAACGTCCGTTTGGAGGAGTAGTTTATTGCCTTCACCGTCCTGCTGGGAGGAAGAAGGGTGGGGGTGGCGGGGGGCGGGGGTGGGTGGGCGGGGTAAGGGGGAGTGGGGGTGGGTGGGGGAGGGGGGGTTGGGGAGGAGTAATCAACAGACAGATGGACTCAGGCAGGTGCTGAGGTAGCAATTGTACTTCAATTGCACTTCAGACGACAAGTGGGCCGCTGTAGTTGCACATGCAAACAGCTGGCTCACTGCTCTATCTCAGTGAGGTAGTTGTTGTAGCTCAGACGGCAAGTGGTCACTTCTCGAGCAAGTGGTCACTGAGGCTACCGATTCTTCACAGGCGCAGACAGCTTGCCTACTTCTCGAGCTCACCTTTCAAGAAGAAACAGATTAGCTTCTACCTTCAGATGGCTTCCAGTTCACAGCCAGACAGCCGACTCACTTCTCCAGCTCGCTGAGGTAGTTGTTGTAAATCGCGAATGGCAATCTCCCGCCCTGGCACTCGTCCGTGAGCAGCTCGAAGAGCACGTGCACCATCACACTGTCCGCCACCAGCGGGATGGTTGCATGGCTGCATGGCCGCATGGCTGCATGGCTCGCGATGGCTCGCGATGGCTCGCCTCTCAACGCCAGGAGACCTACCTTTCAGGCCAATAGACAGCTCACTCACTTCTCGAGCTCGCTGAGGTAGTTATTGTAAATCGCGAAGGGCAAGCGCCCGCCCTGGCACTCGTCCGTGAGCAGCTCGAAGAGCGCGTGCACCGTCACACTGTCCGCCACCAGCGGGATGGCTGGCGCGAGCCGCGCGAACGCGTCCATGCACACGCTGCTCTCCACGTCCATCTGGCAATTTGGGGGAGGGGTCGGGAGGGAAGGGGGTGGCTTATGAGGCGTCTCTAGTGTGTGCTGCAAAGGGGATGGCTGGCGCCAGCCAGGCGAACGCGCCCATGCACACGCTGCTCCCCACGTCCATCTGAGTACGGCGGAGGGACGGACAGGGGCGGACAGTGGGATGATAGGGAGGAAGGGGCGGAAGGTGGGATGATACGGACCGGTTCCTTCTCCTCTACCAGTCCTGTCAGCTTGTCGGGCTGCGCCTGGCGCCTCCCATGCGAGCGTCATAAATATTATACAAGGAGTGGTTCTCGAGGAAATCTCTACGGTGCCTCCTAAATCCGACCTGTCCCGTGGGTTGGTTAGAAGCGCCCGGTGCCTCCCACGCGAGAATCATGTCGAACGTCCATCGCCGGAAGACCTGGTCCTTGAGGTGCTCCGTCACCTGCGTCGCCACCGCCAGCACGTGGAAGCAGCAGTACTCCAGGGAATTCCTACTTCGCCTCAAGAATCGCACCCGTACTGTGGCCGCTCCTACCTCTTCTGTGGCTGCTCCTACCAGAAGCAGCTGCTCTCACATGGAATTCCCAATTCCTACCTGTCCTGTGGGTTGACTAGACGCGCCCGGTGCCTCCCACGCGAGCATCATGTCGAACGTCCATCGCCGGAAGTCCTTGTCCTTGAGGTGCTCCGTCACCTGCGTCGCCACCGCCAGCGCGCGGAAGCAGCAGTACTCGAGGAAATTGCGCGCGTACCGCGCGGGCTCTCGCGCGCTCGCGGGCGCCTCCTCCTCGAAATTCGCTTTTAGCTCCTCCGGTTTTAGCATCAGGACTCTGGAAGGGGGAGATGGGAGGTGAGACGAAAAGGACGGACGAAACTAAGCAAATTGCCGATTGAGTAGCCTGGAGTTAAACTACGCTTTTTTGGGTTTGAGAGTAGGGTTTGAAATCTGGAGGGTAGGTCAGTCGCGGAAAGCTGAGAATGGAATGCTAGAGATTACGGACACTAGGGGAGGAAAACGGAAAGAAAAGATCCTAGTAGAGAACAGCAGCGACGCGTGAACCGCTCTGGAAGGAGCGTGAACTGCGCTCAACCTAGATGATGCAGGAAACTCTAGCGTAACCCGCAACGCGTTTCTTGAGATTTCTAAACGACGAGCTGCAAACGCGCATACCTCGCGCATCGTCCAACAACCACGTTAGCCATCGAGGAGAGCTCCTTAATCCACTTCCCGCCAGCGCGCTCCTGCGTACTTAAACTGGCGCTCAACTGCCCGGCCCCGCCGGTGGCGGCAGCCCCATCCCTAGGACTGCGAATAATAGTCTCCCATCCGAGCAGCTCTGACTCGCTCATGTAACCTGCCATGGACGAGAAAGCGTCTGAGGAATTCCGGGTAGGAGAGGATCCAGAACCGAAGAAACCCTGACCGCTACCCCCGGAAGAAGGACCTTGTCTGGCTCCGATTCCGGTCGCGCCGCTGATTCTGTCGATGACTTGCGACGCCTGCTGCTTGATGTTGGAGATGTCCTGAACGGCCTGACGAAACGCGCGATGCGGCCGCCATGGCTCCTTTTCCGGCTTCTGAGGCGTCTCGTAAGTTGATGCTGGTGATCTCGCGGGTTCTGATCTTAACGGCTCGGCTTCTAAGCTCATTGCGGAGGAAGATTTCACGAGACGAGGTTGGCTCATGGAGGCTGAAGAGCTTGACAATGAAGGTGAACGGATCCGATTCTCTGGAACAGTAGATTTGACAGACGAGAGCGCTGCGTCGGACGAAAAAACTTCGTCTGGTGATACTACCTTGTTCGAATCGCTACCAGGGATGCGTAACGTGAAAGTATCAAACTCTCTTTGTGTGCGGCTGCTCTTTTTGTTGAGCCACTTGAATCGAGCGCGAAGGCGAGCCGATGTCAAAGCTAATCCATCCGGCACGGGAGCATCTGTCGGCTTGGTCGCGACAACCGCAGCAGCGCGGATCGAGGCTGGAGCAGCGTGAAGATGCACGCGGAAGGACGGAACACAGAGGCTAACTGCAGCCAGAGTGACAGGCTGGGGAAGATATGATGAACGGGGTGAGACGAGAAGCTAACACCAGTCACGGATCTATGGGGAGAGAATTCGGTTGTTCGGTGTGCCTGGGTTTGTGCAGGTTTCGTGCAGGTCTGGTGAGGTTCTGTGCATTACAGGGCAGTGCAGTAGTTGTGGACTACGGACTAAATTTTGCATAAGGGACGGTGTGTGCCTGTCCAGGCTCTGATTGGCCTCGCCTCATTGTGACGCGATCACTTCTGCCCGTTGGCGCCTTGGTTTGCGTTTCCGATGTTCCCCAGTTTGGCGAGGCTTGGCTCGCCTTGAGATTGTGACAGCGACAAATTGCTTGGTGACTGTTCTCTTGGGCTTGGGGCGGACAGAACGGAAATCACGCAGCTGATTGCCGTAAGCTGCTGGGTCGCCTGAATGGGTCAGTCATTCTGGAGGAATCTGGTTTGGTTTGGACGGTCTGTGTTTGGCCGTCTGCTCGCCTTATATACCTGGTCAGCTAACCAGCCTCGGAATGCACTGACCGGCTTGGTTGGACGTTAGCCTCATGGGGGAGTCGAACATAAGTGTCGAACCTAAGCTTGCCGAACGTCAGTCTGGAGGTCGCAGGCCTGTTCGGGATTTCGCAGAAGGGGAAGGTGTGTGAGTCGTTCAGCGTCGATTCCCAACCTCAGGTCGTAAGATCTATGTAGATCTTTCGCGACAAACCTTATGCGACAAACGATTTTGAACTCCAGAACACATGGTGGTTGGGGTGGCCATGGCGCTTCGTCACGTCACACAGCACAAGCCCCATCTGGTCAGCCCATCAGGCATCTCAGCGATGACATGGCAAACAGAAGAATGCGTTGGCATGGAGATGGAACTGGTCCTGCATGTCGGTGACTGCCGCCAACCTCGCTGGCTCCAGGCTCACACGCCCTACACACCACACAGTGATACTCGTTACAGAAAGGTCCGCCATTAGTAAATCCATCAGATTGCACGTTTCTGTTTGTGGTCATATTCCACCAACTGTTGTGTAGTTTGCTTCTCCGTCCACGACGCCAGCGAAATGTGCAAATTTGCTGACCAGGAGCATGGCAGACAAGATTGCCTGACGAATTCGCGAATGCATTCATTCATTCCTGTGAAATGCGAGGCAAGCAGGTTCTCTATTGTCCTTCAGTTCAAGAACCTTGGCGACAACGTAGTGACCGCGCCGCCTCCAGAGTGCGCTCTTTCTGTATCATACACAGCGTAGCGACTACAAGTAGCTTCACCTCACTTGAAAGGCTAAATTGATACCTTGACGTAGGCTGGTCAAAGGTTTGGCGTAGGCTCTTTCTTGCTGCTAGATCGTCAGTCGCAGACGCTCGTCGACACTGCGTTGTTTTCTCTCCGTCCTGAGTCATCGAACACCAGCCGTCCGGCACCAGTCGTGCTTTGCTTGCTTGTATCAGTCTACGGGTTTGAGGCCATACGGGCTTCGCTTCGCGGAGGACCATGGGACCGTTGGCATCTGAGGACCAATCGCTCGACGTGGACGCCTTCGTTGCTGCGTCAGCAGACTTAGTCAGCACCCCGGGTAAGTCAGCATCGTGCACGCTCTTATATACCGTTACTTTGAAGAGCGCGTAAAACACCTCATAGGACTTGAACGCGGTGTTAGAACGTCGAACCGCTTCTACTGATAAGCAATTGCTCATTTTGTTCGGTTCCTCCTCGTGTTCTTGTTCCCGTTCTGTTTCTCCTGTGCTTTCAGCATCGGATGATGGGTCGGTGACTGCCTTCTTGAGCAGGTTCCCCCTGCCACTCATTCTCAGGTGCGCTCTACGGTGTAGCCGTTTTCAGTGAATTCATAACACCAAGATCATCTGTGACGAAATCATTTCCTGGCCTATCATCCTCGCTTTTTTCTGTCTCTCAGGGCTTTAGACGCCGGATCACCATCCCAGACACGTGGCATGGAGGGATTGGAGGAGGGTGATAAGGAAATGGGGGGTACGGAGGATGCAGAGGCAGCAGTGAAGCTGCAGCAGGCAGCAGTGCAGGCTCTCTTCAGGGTGTTCAAGTCGAACGGCGTCCTTCCCATTCTGCCAAGCCTCCTGGTGGGTGCTACGTTCTATCTGCTTACAAGCTATTTACATGCTACTTACAAGCCAGAATTGGTACAGAGGATGCAGAGGCAGCAGTGAAGCTGCAGCAGGCAGCAGTGCAGGCTCTCTTCAGGGTTTTCAAGTCGAACGGCGTCCTTCCCATTCTGCCAAGCCTCCTGGTGGGTGCTACGTTCTATCTGCTTACAAGCTATTTACATGCTACTTACAAGCCAGAATTGGTACAGAGGATGCAGAGGCAGCAGTGAAGCTGCAGCAGGCAGCAGTGCAGGCTCTCTTCAGCCTCCCAAGCCTTCTGATGGGTCTTAGCTTACAATACGATTCACTCCCAAGCCAGGATCTTTGAACTGGTCGCTCCTTGTGCCACGCGTGCCACGTGTATCCTCAGGCTTCGTGCTGTAGTCTGTTATTTCATTGTACTCCTTGCCGGTGAATTGCATTGCATCTGCCACTCGCTACGCAGCCATGTGGTGAGTGAGAACCATCCTGAGCTGAGGCGCCTCAAGTCATGTGCATTGCATGTGCCACCACACCACACCGCCCATGCAGCCATATGCGGAGAAAGGGATGCTCTCTCCCTCCCCAGACATGCGCCGCCTCTGCTGCTTTGCGGTGAGCTTACCAAGACATGTTCTGGTCAGTCGATTGCACTGTTTGCTCGCGTGGTCCCGTGCCACCACACCACACCACACCACACCATCCGTGCAGCCATATGCGGAGAACGCTCTCCCCAGACATGTGCCAGCTCTGCTGCTTTGTGGTGAGCCCAACCACTGTATTCCTGATGGAATCTGCCTATCATTTCCTTGCCCACCAATGTCGTCCTTTTCTTTCGTTCTTTCCACGAACCTCAGTCCCTGAAGCTCCATCTGTTCCTCCCTTGGGCTGTTCTCGGCCCCTTGAATCTACTTTCTACTGACCCAACCAGCTGTTGCGCAAGGCAGAGGGAGGAGACGAGGACAGCTATGCAGCTGGTCCATAGCTCCTGCGCACCAGCTGTTGCAGGAGCTATGGAGTCAAGGGGAGGAGGGAAGTCGAGAAACACCCTAAAGTTGCACTCAAGCGGTCCTTGTATCGCTGAAACCTAGGTACAGGCTGAACAAGCATGCGGTGCACCTTAAAGTTTCTCCTCGCTCTCTTTCCCGTTTCTGTGTTGTGGCCCCTTCCATCCCCTTTCTCTCACCCACTCACCTCGAGCGCATGGCAGAGGGAGGCGAGGAGGAGATGCAGGAGCTAGGGAGTCAGGGGGAGGTGGCAAGTCAAAAAGCGCATAAGAGTTCTCATTGCTCTCGTTCCCTTCCCTCTGCCCTTTCTCTCACCAAACCAGCTCCAGCGCATGGCAGAGGGAGGCGAGGAGGAGATGCAGGAGCTAGGGAGTCAGGGGGAGATGGCAAAGCAGGTGGTGGGGGAGGGTTTAGTGCGGTGCTTGGGGGACGAGAAGCTGTCGGTGGCTGCTGCTGCCACTGACGCCCTAGCTGCTTTTTGCCGGTCATCTTTGGGAGTGGTACGTTCTGTTCTGTGTGCCCAGTTGTTTCACCTTAAGCATGGGGTGCTACATGTTGCTATGTTAGGTAGGTAAGGGGGGTTCAGTGCGGTGCTTGGGAGACGAGCACCTGTCAGTGGCTGGCTGCTGCTACCACTGGCGCCCTCGCGGGCTGTCTTCCGCCGCTCGTCATTGGATGCAGTACGTTTTCCGAGTGTGGAGCTTCCATGTAGGGCGTCTCCTGATACTACGCTATTGGAAGAAGCTGACGTGCTTTTTATGCTTCTACTCATTCCCAGATGACTTATTTCCATTCGGTCCGTACAATACTCCTGTTCCCGCAATTTCTTCCAGAGCCTCATTTTCAGCAGTGATCACCTTTACAAGCTCACACGCTCGTCACACTCTCAGGTACGCCTGGCAAACTCTCTTTTTGCCTTAGCAACAACTTTATATCCTCTCTTCCCTGCTCCTTCGTTTTGGGGCGGTTCCTCTCTTTAATCCTTCCATTTTTACGTTATTTAATAACATTTTCCATATTCCCGCTGTTACATAAATCCTTCATTTTCAGGCTGTTTTCACCGAACATGCATTTTGCCTCCATCACTCTCCAGGTGCAGCAGCGAGTGGTGGAGGCGGCGTTGCGTCTGGCCAACCAATCGCAGCACGCCATGTCAGCAGTCGAGAAGCTGGATCTGCTCCACCCATTGGTCCAGCAGCTGCAAGGGGTGGCAGGGGAGGGAGAAATTGGAGCAGAAGGGGGAGGTGATACTGGTGCGGGTAGATCTGGGGGAGGTGCAAATGAGGACGGAGGGGACGCTCTGGCTGCACTAGCAGCATGTGAACTCATATCAGAGGTAGTGTTCCTAGCTCGCCATATTTTTTCCAGGTCGTGCATGTTAAACCCCTGTGGTTCTGTTTCCTTCCTGGTTTCCACCTTTTCGTAATCAACGTTTGCAAGCAGCAAGGGGTGAATAAGATGCATTTCGCTTTCACTGAATCTCCCATACATGGAGGTTTGCAAACAGCAGTTTCCCATGTGCACAGCATAGGAAGGGGCGCAACTGCTTGAGCCCTACAGTGACGAAATTCACAGGGGCCCTTGTTTGATCTACAGCAAGCGCTCTCTTTGCTTTCCCTTCCCCGTGTATTGCATCCCTGCCCTTCCCACAGTTTGTGTTTTCGAGCCGACTCAAAAGCCTTACGCATGCATTGCATTCCTGAAATTTCCCGCCCAGTTTGTGAACAGCAGCGTGGGGGCGCAACTGCTTGAACCCCGCATTGATGAGATTCACAGCGCACTCATCCAGATCTGCACTAAGGCATCCACGGCAGCAACACCAGCAGCAGCAGCAGCAGCAGCACATCTGGGGCTTGATCTGCTCTTAACGGCTGTGCTCAAGTGCGCTGCTCGCCTCACCTCTCCTGCAACACCCGGAGTCATGGCTCCCCTCACCTTGATCCGTATGTTCCTTCTCCGTTTTGATTCCACCCCTGGGCTGCACTCAACTGTGCTGCGTGCCTCACCTCTCCTGCAACACCCGGAGTCATGGCTCCCCTGGCCTTGATCCGTATGTTCCTTCTCCGTTTTGATTCCACCCCTGGGCTGCACTCAACTGTGCTGCGCGCCTCACTTCTCCTGCAACACCCGGAGTCATGGCTCCCCTCACCTTGATCCGTATGGTCTGCTCACCTTTCTTTCTCCTCTGTAAAGTTCTCTTCGATTCCGCCAGTTGGCTGCACTGACACGAGCTTCTCGTCTCACCTCTCTTGCAACACCCGGAGTCATGGCTCCCTCACCGTGATCCGTGTGCTTCTCCCCTTACTTTTTTGTGCATGCTTCTGCAGAATTTTGTTACTCTCTCGTGCGGTTAACATTGTTGTCCTCCTTGCCTCGCATCGTCTCTAATGCAGAGAATTCCCGGCGATGGCATCAATGTCCGGCCGGGATTTTGTTGCTTCGCTGACCCTCAATTTTGCCGCCGGCCCATCCCCTCTTCCCCTTCCCCCCTCCCCCTCTTCCCCCCCCCTTCTTTTACCGTTCTCCAGAGGCGGATGAGGTGGCAGCGCTGTTCAATAGCATCTGTGAGGCGTGGGAGCGCAGTGAGGAGCACGTACCAGTGGAAATGGCGGAGGGGTACTTTGATGCGCTGACCACCTATGCACGCTGTGAGTGCTCACACCCGGATGGTTGGTGGCTGGCAGTCTCCATTCGTGGCTGCAGCCCAGTCAAATAGCATCTGTGAGGTGTGGGAGCGCAGTGAGGAGCATGTACCAGTGGAAATGATAGAGGGGTATTTTGATGCTCGGACAACCTACGCATGCTGTGAGTCATGCTCCTCTGTGTGCAAAAAAAGGTTGTAGTGTATGGGGTTGTGGCTTAATCAACATGTACCTGTTATGACTGTTGAGAGATACTTTGGTTTGACGTTTTCACCAGTATGTACCGGTTAATACTTTGACTATGTCGTTGTTCAAATTCGTAGAAACTTCTTCTCAACTCCACCTCCCTTCTCCCACTCCCCACCCCCCACCCACACGGATTTTTGTACAGCCACCCACGGCTCTCGTCTGCTGCTGCATCCCCGTCGCCACGTCATCACCTTTGTGCTCAAACATGCGTTTGGGGGCAGTGGGCCCCACCCCTCCCTGCACACTGTAAGGGCTTCCCGTCCTTCTCTCTCCTCCAGTGCTCCCTTTAGTATTCATGGTGAGCGCTGCTCCATCCTTGACGCCACGTCATCACCTTTTTTTGAAATGATTCATTTGCGGGCAGTGGGCCCCACCCCTCTCTGGACACTGTAACTGTTCGTCGCCCCTTCCTGCCGTGTCGTCACTTTCGTAGTCAAGCATGCGTTTGGGGACAGTGGGCCCCACCCCTCCCTGCCCATGGTGAGTCCGCCCGGCACTCCTCTCCAGTGCGCTATGATTCCACCCTAAGATTTCACCCTAAGACTCAACCCTACAATTACACACCCATGTTTCCCTCTCCAGGCTTCCTTGCACTCTGTCTGCATTGGCTTCCGTCTTTGGAGCAGACAGAGTGGAGGGCAGTGAGCCAGTGCGCATGGTGCCATCTCCCTTTCCCCCCTCCCCCTCCCCCCCCGCCCCCGCTCTTCCAGGCCCCTCTACACGCGCTCGCATCGATTTTTGGAGCAGAAAGAGTGGAGGGCAGTGTGCCAGTGCGCATGGTGTCAGTCCATGCCATGCTCTGGGGAAGGAGTTGTATTCACCCCATGTTTCCAGCCCCATGCTTTCCTATCCAGGCGTCCTTGCATGCATTGGCTTCCGTCTTTGGAGCAGACAGAGTGGAGGGTAGCGAGCCAGTGCAGATGGTGCCGGTGCATGGCACCCACTCGGGAATCAGCGGGGTGGATGAGGGAAAGGATCCAGAGGGGGGTGGGGGGGGTGGCATGGGTGTGGATTTGGAGGTGGGGGGGACGGGGAGTCGAAGTTGAAAGAGGAGACGTTTGCCGCTGCTGCTAAAGCGCCGGGAGGACCCACCCTGGCGGTGAGTGTTGGAAAGATGTCTGCTGATTAGTCCTTTGTATTAGATAGAAGCAGGGTACAGGCATGGCAAGGGTGTGCAATAAGTCCATTTTTTAGTCGACTAAAAAATGAACTCATTACACAAAATCGGTCCTTTGTATTAGATAGAATCGGGGTACAGGCATGGCAAGGGAACTCGCATACAGGTGCGGATGGTCAGTTCCCCTAACCCCCACTTTATCTTGGGGTGGCATGGGTGCGGATGCGGGGGATGACGGGGAGGCGGAGCTTAAAGAAGAGACGTTTGCCGCTGCGGCTAAAGCACCGGGAGGACCCACTCTCGCGGTGAGTGAAAGCACCTTTAGTGGTCGTTGCTGTGAAGGCTTATCCTCTTAGTGAGACTTATCCTTGTAGTTCCTGCTACAGCAGCAGGAGGACCCACTCTGGCGATCTTTAGTGCCAGTAGGCCGTCTTTTGAGTCGACTCAAAGCCACCTGGCTACAGCAACAGGAGGACCCACTCTGGCGGTCTATAGTGCCAGTAGGCCGTCTTTAGTGGTCCACTCGTGGAGATTTCATCCTGGTCCTACATGCCAAAGCGCCCTAAGCCTTAGCCTTTTCCGACTAGTGAAGCACCAGGAGGATCCTCTTTGAGTGTGCGACATTTGCAGTTTCAACTACAACTAATAACTGTTAAAACGCTTTGATTGATTTCTCAGAGTCCTGCTTTCTGTTGTGCTGCGTACCTGGCAGGGCGTGTTTGTCTCTCTGCTCAAGCGATCTGAGGAAATTCGCATTGCTGTGAGTGCTGCTCTTGCTGTTTAACACCCATTCACACAGAGGAATACCCCCCCCCCCCCCCCTCCCACACACACACGCACACACACAAGAACACGCACATGCACACACACGCACATACACTCACACGCGTGCACGCGCGCACACACACCGTGCACTCACACTCGTGCACGCACGCACACACACCGTGCACTCACACTCGTGCAAGCGTGCACACACACCGCTGGCAACGGTGGGGTTGAGGGAATGGACAACATTTCGGTCTGTTTGGAAGTTGCCTAGAATCTCCCTTTTGCATGGGAATTTTGCACATTGCAAGTGACTGAGTTTGGCGGCTTAGGTGTGGTCCACCATGCCCCTCCCAAGCCATCTTCGACAATACCAGCGGTGGTAGGCTCTGCTGCTCCCTGTGCTGCTCCTTGTGCTGCTCCCGGTGCCGCACCTTGTTCAGCTCACTGTCAGGTGAGACTCTCTCACTGCCGGTTCCAACTCCCTCATTCCAGGTTGTACCGCATGCTTGCAGCGGTGGGTTTTGAGTGACCTTTTGAGTCGACTCAAAACATTCCAGGTTGTACCGCATGCTTGCAGCGGTGGAGAGGGAGTGAGCGACAGTGGAGTGCCTGTGATGGTGCCCATCGCCTCTGAGTAGTGGTGGCGGAGAGCAGGACTGCTACGCCAACCTGCTACTCTCCCTCTCCCTGTCTTTCCCTGCAGGTGTATCGCCTGCTGGCAGCGGTGGTGGAGAGGGAGTGGGCAGCAATGGAGCTGTGTGGTGATTGGACGCTGGTGCAGCTGGTGACAGACGCACAGGCAGAGAGGCACAAGACAGGTGAGGGCTCAAAATCGGAGTTCTGCAGTCGGTGAGGGCTCATATATGAGGCAGCACTGGTCACAGATTTCAGAATTTGTGGTGAATGGATTCTAGTTTTGATGGTGGCAGGTTGACAGGGACAGGAGAGCTGATTTTCCCACCCCTCGCTACTCCCGCCCTTGCCATGTGGCAGCCATGGATTGGAGGCACTCGTGCTGTGTGGCCATGGCAACAGCGGCAGAGGCACAACATGCGTCCATCTCGTTCAACTGCTCGGCTCAGGTCAGCGTTGCCCCCTACAATAGCCCCGTGTTGTATAGTTAACCATGTTATTCGCCCAACTGCGCAGGTCAGTCCCCCCGACAGGTTTTGTGTGGGGATGAGTGCAGCGTGCAGCTAACCGGAGCAGTGTGCAAGGGACTCTACCACCCCTTACCCTCCACCCATTTTCTTTTGCTCTTTACACCTTTTCTCTCCCTCCTTCCATCGCACCAGCTAGCCGAAGCAGTGCGCAGGGGACCTTACCTGATGCCTCCCTGTTCTCTCTAGCTGTCCAACCCCCCCCCCCCCCCCCCCCCCTCATCTCCCCTTCCCTCTCCTCCAACCTTTCAACCCAACCCCCTTCCATCACACCAGCTAGCCGAAGCGGTGCGCAGAGGACCTTACCTGACGCCACGGGAGATAGAACCGCGCCCCATTGTTGTTACTGATGAGAGACCACCCACGGGGTTTTGATCGCACTAGAGGTTCCACAGGTTTGTTGGGATTCTCGAGTGCAATCTGAATTTCTTTGTTTGGCCTGACTAAGGGGAACTCGTCCGACTGGTAATGGATTGCCTGTGGTTATGGCTATGCCCACTAGAGTCTTGGGATCTGTCCTCCTTTGGCTACACTGCATTTGTACATATTGCTGTAAAGTCTATGTGGATTGTTCCGAGTACATGGTTGTGCAACACAAGTTTTACCACAGTACCATTTTGACCTGCGCATGTACAACGAGAAAATGAGGAAACATATGTTTTCTTGTAGGAGCCGTTTGCCTTAAAATGGTTAGGCATGAAGTTGTGGGTTAGGAGAATGTTGTTGACGAGATACTAATGACATATTAAAACTATTATAGGTAGCTAAAGAGTGTAGGCATTCATTAAATTGCCCCTTTATTTCCGCGCCACCGACATTGGTTTGGCAGAGCCTGGTGCTGCACTTGTCATTATCGAGGCTGCACTGTCGAGTGACTTGAATGGCCAACACAACGAATGGCCCTCTGTACACATTTATTCCAGTAAAAGTTTATTAATTAGATGCCACATTTGTGTTTACAAGCCTATTGTTCAAAATCATGGTCAACGGCCATATCTACAGAGTCCCAATTTTACCACATTTGATACAGAGACATCCAAACGTGCAGACGGGACGTTCTCAGACCTGTACTGTTGCCCGAGAAACGCAAAAGAAACAACAGTGGCTACCCGCTTTACACTGTAAAATGCCAATTAAGTAACCAGACTACCCTATATTGGCCCAATACGCGCGTGAAAGTTATGTGCTCGACTTTGGAACACCCGCTCGAAAAACAGCTGGACCTGCAATGGACTTCATGTGTACGAACGAATTCGTTGAGTTGCGAATACGAACGAAATCGCGGAGTTGCAAGGTGGCCTGTCGTAGAGCTGTTGGTGAGGTGAGCTACTTGCCAGGACTGAGTTCAGAGGTGGGGGGTGCTGCTGAACGTGTTTACTGTACTGTACTGTGCAGTACAGGTTCTCCTCCAAACTGGGAAATTGGGAATTCCATTCCAGCCTTCTGTCAGTACAAATTATACTTGCTGCTTCCGTCAAATTAGGGTTTCGTTACTTATGGTCAGTCCGTTGGGGAACTGCTGCCCGGACACCTGAGAATGCTGAGACGGCCGATTTCTCCTTATCATTTGCTCCTCCACGTTGCACGCGTAGGCCGAGGAGTCTTGATCATCCGCAGCGATGGGAGGGCTGCGCATCCGGCTGTAGTGACATGGACCGTAATGTAACGCATACTAAACCTACCTAGCGCAATTGGCGCGACCTAGCTAGGGCACTATAGCGTGACCTGTGCTAGGTCGCGAGCATGGAAAAGTTGTGCTAGGGAAGGGTGGGTTGGGTGTACAAATATAGTTAACCATCCAACCCAAGGCAAATGTGGTTTGGTAATTCCAACCCTTAATGTTGAGGCTTGGGAATTCCCAAGTCTACATATTGCCAACCAATGGTTGGATTTGCAACCAACCACAGATTGACAGTTGGTGTTACAACCAACTAAATCCAACATTTTCTTCCACGCACTTGCTCTCAAATGGGTAGCAACCCAACCTAAAATGCCACCTAAGCAACCCAACTCTAGGAGCTCCTCCACCTTGTTGCCATGGAGGATTTGGAGCTCCCCAAGGGGTCTAGGGAGGGGTTGAGCTTCCCCAAGCTCATTCTCCATTTTCCCAACTCCAACAATCTAATTTGGAAATGGGATTTTCTCTACTCCAGTTCTTCTTCCAATTAATATATTGGAAGATTTCACAAAACCTCTTTCATTGAGGTCTTTGAGCTCTCCTCACAGTTTCCCCTACACAACTCTCTCAAGAATTTCTTCACTCAAGGCTCTCCTTTGAAGACTTCATCAACAACCTCAAGGCTACCCTAGGGATAAGCTAGAGTTATTATTAGATTGGAAAGCATCCCTTGCTTATAACCCTACTATAATAGCCTTGGTTGCTACATTGGTATCTAGAGCTAAGGTTGATCTTGGCCTTGTGTGGCCATTTTTGCTTGCCTTTTTTTTTTTTTTTTTTTTTTTTTTTTTATATAGAGGATCCTAGATTATAGATCTAGAGGTTCTTTGAAGACTTGAAGAAATCCTCAAGACATTGAAGACTTCTTCAAGCTCCGTCAAAGCGTCCAACATCTCAAGAATTTCTGAAGACTTTTGAAGACTCTTCATCAAGATCTTGAAGATTCTCCATCACAATCTTCAAGCTTCTTCACCAACATTGGAGGATCTCCTTCCACATTGAAGACATTTCGAAGAGAGATCTATCTCTCTTGCCCACTTTTTGGTGGAAGACTCTTCTTACCTTCGGGTAGAGAGTGGCTTCTCAGATCTAAGGATTTGTTGAGGATCTACTCTTCATTGGGTAGATCTTGCTCTATCATTGAGGTGATAGAGAGATCTTGCAACAAATTCATTCTCTGGAAATTTTGTCTTGGATTATTCTGTAAAGAGTTATCAAAATTTCTTAAAGAGAACTTTCAGATCTGTTGAGTAAACTTGTTTCCTTAACCCATTTCATGGCTTCCAACCAAGAGATGGATGTTTCTCAGGGAAACATGCCTGTTTCAGACAATGAGGGGGAAAATGGTGTTGCTGAAATTGATCTCAATCAAGAGGATCTCAAGGTTGACTTGGAGGTCAATGGAAGTGAAGCAGATATTGGTGCTGGTGCTGAAAATGCTGAAGATGCTGAGGAAGAAGATGAAGCTGATGTTGCTGAAGGTGTCTTCAATGAGAGTCTGGCTGCCAAGTTCCAGACTCAACTCACCGAACAGAACATCACCATTGTTGCGCAGCAGTGTCGCATCCAAGGCCTTGAGACCGATATTTTACAGCTGAAGACTCTTATCCATGAGCTTCAGGCTGGGTTGTTGTTGGCTACAAATGATAAGCTCACCAGAACCTCCCGCTTTATCCTGGACCTGCAGGACACCACCAAGCACGTGCATGCCCAGCTCAACCACCTGCAGACCCAACTTACTCAGTTGCAGTCTCAGTACAGGGAGCTCCGGCGTTCCAACATCTACCATCCTGCTGCTGCACCTACTCGCGCTGCTGCATCTACTAGCAACCCAGCTCCATCTGCTGCTGCTACTGCTCCTGCCGCAGAGCGCACCCAGCACCCTCCTCCTGCAGCTGCTACTGCTTTTGGCTCCCTGCCTACGGTCTTGCCTCGCTTTATCCATGGCAAGACCGACGTTGAGACGTGGTTTTCCATTGCGGCGGATTTTATGTTCCTCCACAATATGGGTAGCGCGGCTCGCGTACTGGCTGCGACTCTTGCCTTGGATGATACCGCTAGCAAGCTTGTCTATGCTAGCAAGCGTCAGGCAGAGGCGAATGGCCAGCCTTTTGGCTGGAAGGAGTTCAAAGCTGCAATGCTGCAAGCTTTCCTCATTCAACCCTCTACACTCGAGGTGCGAAGTCGCCTGGAGAAAATCCAGTGCGGCGACCGGCCTGTGCGGGAGTATGCATAGGAGTTTGAGAAGACCCTTTCTCTGCTGAAAACCGCTCTCTCTGAGAGCGAGGTCATCCACCAATTCTTTAAGGGGCTCCCTGAACATTCAAGCGTGTGCATGTTGTGAAAGGGGAGCACCAGTGGAAGACTTACAAGGAGTGTAAGGAACAGGTTCTTGACATGGATGTGAATTTCCGTGCCTACCTGAACCTGAACAACACTCAGACTCAGCAGCTGCCTAGGGCCGAAGGCCCTAGCGGGGGTGGTAATAGGACCCAGGCCTCTAGGGGTCAGGGCTCCTGGAAGAGGCCCTACCAGCAGCGTGGGAAGTCCTCCGGGACCCAGACCAAGAAGGTCAATCCTGGGCCACCCAAGGACCCCCAGGATGGTGACAGGACCCCTGAGGGCTGCCGCATTAGTGGCAAGCCCGGCCACAAGGCATGGCAGTGCCGCTGGAAGAAGGCTGTCAAGAACTCTGGCAAGCCTAACCAGGGCAACAAGCCTGGTGGTCGTGGTCCTTCGGGTCCGAAGGATTTTCATAAGCCCAACTAGGGGGTGGGTACCTAGTTGGTGAACTAGATCGAGCGGATGAGGCTTATGTCCTATGTGATGAGGATTTATTAAAGCTTGAGAATCTTGCTGCATGCAAAATCTCTTGTTTGTTTGCCTCTTCTTTTAATGAAAAGTCTGTTTTTAAATCTCGATCATACCCACTGGAAAATATTTCAATTGAATCCTTAAGAGATAAGTTTTCAATTATCTCTTGTCCATTGAATATGTTGCCTGCAATCATGGATATGATGGATCGTTGTATCCAGGAGCACCCCCTTACGTCATTTGGGTTGGTGACTCGAATGGTGAAAGGAAAATTATTTCATCGATTCCATGAATGGCATGTGCTGGCAACATGGGATAAAGGCCACCACGTGTTGTGGACCAACTCCAAATCAGTTGGACGTGCACACAACAAGTTTCAGGTCTATTACCGACCCCCTAAACTTGTGGTAGCATGCCCCATCCGTCCTAAATTTCAACAGAATTTACTGTTGTCGGGACGACTGAATGGGGACCATGCAAGGATTCTTGTCGATACGGGTGCACCGGTTTCCCTTGTTGATAAAACATGGGTCACAGCACGCAACGTCCTCGTTGAGGGATCGTCTTGTCCCATTCGCCTGGGTGACAACCGTGTCATTCCAAGTAAAGAACGGGCAAATATCGACATTTGCATTCAAGAGTATGGCGAAACCATTCGCGCATACGTCCTACCTCTCTTGTCAGGTGTAGACCTAATCCTTGGTATGGGATGGTTGGGGGCCAATGAAGTTATTCTTGACTTTCAGCATAACTTGGTCTCATTCGAAAAGAATGGAAAGACAATCCAGTGGCAAGTCGTTGACACTGCGCCCACTATGGATCAAGCACCTGAACGTCCCGGTGCATCCTTTGCTTTGGCCAACCAATTTAGACATTTTCTAGAGTCAGCTGATACACTGTTCGTGGTTCAACTTGAAAATGTCAAAAACCCCCAGCCAGCAATCGAGGATTTTCCGCCTCAAATGCAAATATTGGCAGACAAATTCAAGGAAGTGTTTGAGGCCATCCCCGATGGACTTCCGCCTGACCTCGTGGTGGGTCATACCATCCCTGTTGAACCCGGAAAGGTTCCACCCTTTCGACCTCTGTATCGCCTCAGTCCAGCTGAGTACGAGGAGGCTAAGCAACAGATCGAGGAATACCTAAAAAAAAGGATGGATTGAACCTAGTGCATCCCCTTATGGAGCACCAATCTTGTTTGTTAACGAAATGGGCAGAGGATTACGCATGTGCGTAGATTATCGTGCCTTAAATAAGATTACTGTCAAGAACAGATATCCTCTCCCAAGAATAGAGGATCTGTTTGACCGACTCCAAAGGGCTCAGTGGTTCAGTGCATTGGACCTGGCTCAAGGGTATCACCAGCTGCGCATTACCGAGGAAGATGTTCCTAAAACGGCTTTTCGAACGCCGTTTGGTCACTTCCAATGGCGTGTGTTAAGTCTTGGCTTGACGAACGCCCCCGCATCGTTCCAGAGAGCAATGAATGATGTGTATCGGGAGGCAATCGGCCAATTCGTCTTGGTGTACTTGGAGGATATCCTTGTTTACTGTAAGATTGAGAAAGAACATACGCAACACCTTAAATGGGTGTTAGGAAAACTGCGAAAGCATAAGTTCTATGCCCGATTGTGGAAGTGTCACTTCTACAAGCACGAGCTAGAATATCTTGGTCACATTGTAGGCAACGATGGCCTAAAGGTTGATCCAAAGAAAGTGTCGGCAGTCCAGCAGTGGCCAGTTCCACAAGATGTGGGCCAGGTCAGATCGTTTCTGGGACTCGCAAATTACTTTCGCCGATTCTTGGATAATTATTCCTCTGTCGTCGCTCCACTTACGGCACTCACTCGCAAGAGGAGTGCATGGCAGTGGACAGACCAATGCCAGAAGGCATTTGACGAAGTAAAAACCATGTTGACCAATGCTCCGGTGCTGGCTTTGCCAGACCCATCTAAACCCTACGAGGTGGTCACTGATGCCTCGACCGTAGGGATTGGAGCAGTGCTCTTGCAGGAGGGACGTCCTGTGGCATTTGAGAGTAGAAAGCTCTCCCCAGCAGAGCAGCGCTATACAACTTCTGAACAAGAATTGTTGGCCGTTGTACACGCGCTACGAACATGGCATTGTTATTTGGAAGGTGTCGATTTCGTGGTCACAACCGACCACTGCCCGAAGACCTATTTCGCCACCCAAGCCACACTCATTCGCCGTCAAGCTCGATGGGCTGAACTCCTAAGCGGGTTCACCTATGATATTCGATATCGAGCAAGTTCGACGAACATGGCTGATCCCCTCAGCAGACAGCCGATTGGGACAGCAACGGGTGTTGCCGAGCATGAACATGCAGCGGTATTTGCTGCATGTTTTGGAATTCTTGCCTCAGCTCGAGTGAGTGAGATCGCCTTCAATGGTTTTCTGAAACGCATACATACAGGGTATACCATTGATCCTTGGTTTCAGAACCCACAACATACAAAGGGTCTCTTGTGGGAGCACGAGCTCTGGTGGCGTGGAAAGAGATTGTAGTACCGCATGTGGGTAACCTGCGGAATGATATCTTGAGGGAAGTGCATGCCACTAAGTACGGAGGACACCTGGGTGCCAAGAAAACCCGGTGAGCCCTCAGTGACGTATACTGGTGGCCGGGATTGGGCATAGAGGCCCAGCAGTTTGTGACACACTGTGACACGTGTGCACGAAACAAGCCAAGCACACAAAAGCCCGGTGGTTTGCTTCAACCACTCGAGATCCCCGCTGAACCTTGGGAGAGTGTATCGCTGGATTTCATCACCGATCTCCCCAAGACACGCGATGGTCATACGGCGATATTCGTTTTTGTCGATCGCCTGACCAAAATGGTGCACTTCGTGCCCACAACAACTGACGTCTCTGCGGAGGATACGGCGAAGTTGTTTGTGACGCACATCTTCCGCCTACACGGTTTGCCTCGTGTGTTGGTGTCTGACCGAGGCCCGCGCTTCACAAGCCGGTTCTAGCAAGAGGTTATACGGCCACTAGGAACGGAACTTAAGATGTCGTCTGCGTTCCATCCACAGACGGATGGACAGACAGAGCGGACAAACCGCACCCTTGAGCAAATGCTTCGTTCTTTCATTAGCCCAACATAGGACGATTGGGATGAATTGTTGCCAGTAGTGGAATTTGCTGTTAACAATTCTGTGCACGAAAGCACTCATGAAAAACCCTTTGTCCTGAATTGTGGTCGGCATCCCACAACTCCTGCGACGCACGGGATTCAAAGTTTGAAAATCCCAGCCGCGAAGGACTTTATTGGTAAGCAACAGACAGCCTTGAAATTCTCTCGTCATTGGTTGCAACTTGCCCAGCAGAGGCAAAAGTCTTTCGCCGACATGAAACGCCAGGAAGTCGCTTATGCAGTTGGCGACAAAGTCTTATTGAGTACGAAAAACATTCGTCTCATGATCCCTGGAGCACGAAAGTTGTTCCCTCATTGGATTGGGCCCTTCGAGGTGATCAAGCGGGTTGGTGAGGTCGCTTATAAACTTAAGCTACCTGAGACGTTGCAGATTCACTCTGTCTTCCACGTGTCTCTGCTGAATAAGTATGTTGCTGAAGGCAAGTACTTACCACCACCAACCATCGTCCTCGAGGAGGAACTCTATTATGAAGTCGAACGTATGCTCACGCACCGAGATCGACAACGCGGCCGCAAGACAGTTCGTGAGTTCCTAATTCAGTGGAAAGGCTATGGGCGTGAACACAACTCTTGGGAGCCTGAGAAACACTTGACCGAGTTAGTGGTTCAAGCTTATATGGAAGACCTGGCTCGACGAGCAGGCCCACAACCAGTGGACGGGGTTGAACTATGGTCGTAATGTGGTGCGCCGTGCTCGTAGCACTCGCCTAATAAAGCCCTCTAAGGCAACGGGGACGTTGCCACCTGGAGGGGGAGGAGTGTAACGCATACTAAACCTACCTAGCGCAATTGGCGCGACCTAGCTAGGGCACTATAGCGTGACCTGTGCTAGGTCGCGAGCATGGAAAAGTTGTGCTAGGGAAGGATGGGTTGGGTGTACAAATATGGTTAACTATCCAACCCAAGGCAAATGTGGTTTGGTAATTCCAACCCTTAATGTTGAGGCTTGGGAATTCCCAAGTCTACATATTGCCAACCAATGGTTGGATTTGCAACCAACCACAGATTGACAGTTGGTGTTACAACCAACTAAATCCAACATTTTCTTCCATACACTTGCTCTCAAATGGGTAGCAACCCAACCTAAAATGCCACCTAAGCAACCCAACTCTAGGAGCTCCTCCACCTTGTTGCCATGGAGGAGTTGGAGCTCCCCAAGGGGTCTAGGGAGGGGTTGAGCTTCCCCAAGCTCATTCTCCATTTTCCCAACTCCAACAATCTAATTTGGAAATGGGATTTTCTCTGTGTCTTTGAGCTCTCCTCAGAGTTTCCCCTACACAACTCTCTCAAGAATTTCTTCACTCAAGGCTCTCCTTTGAAGGCTTCATCAACAACCTCAAGGCTACCCTAGGGATAAGCTAGGGATATTATTAGATTGGAAAGCATCCCTTGCTTATAACCCTACTATAATAGCCTTGGTTGTTACAGTAATGTCAGCTCGCTGATAGGCAAAATAGCTGGTTGAACTACACAGAAGGCTCCAGGGTTCTCTCCGCCGTTCACTTAGGAAGCTAGTGATGGCCCTGGTCGAGGATTCCAGTACGCACCGTCCGCGAAAGCTGCTCCTACCGTTGTTTATTCTATGGGTAGCTCTCGGGTTATCCATTCTAGGGTTACCAGCCATTACGACAGCGGATTCCCGTGCTCCTATCGCCTCGTCGTCGGAAGCATCTTCATCAGCAGTCGTTTCTCCAGCAGTCGATAACGCAGCAGCGGCGGCGGTGGCGGGGAATGGCGGGAAGCAGGTCATCAAAGTGGTTTGCCTTGTGCTGCTGGAGCTCCCTTTCGGCCAGGCCATCTTCAAAGGTGAGATCCTGTCTGTTTCGCCAGCAGCCACTTTCACAGGAGTCGCTACTTCAGCAGTCGATAACGCAGCAACAGCAGCAACAGCAGCAGCAGCGGCGGCGGCAGCGGGGAATGGCGGGGAATGGCGGGGAATGGCGGGAAGTAGGTCATCAAAGTGGCGTGCCTCGTGCCGCTCGAGGTCCCTTTCGGCCAGGCGATTTTCAAAGGTGAGAGATTTCGAATCACTCGCCACTGTAGCAGCAAATTCCGAGGGGAATGGGTGGGGGAATACGGCGTGCCTCGTGCTGCTGGAGGTTCCTTTCGGCCAGGCCATATTTAAAGGTGAGAGTTCAAGCAGCATTCGCCACTGTAGCAGCTAATGCCGAGTGGAAAGGGAGGAGGTAGGTGACTGAGAAGCACCCTCTCATACCCCCTCTTCTATCTCAAGCATCCCGCTTTTTTCAACACATTCTCGTTTTCTCCTCCCTCTTTCCACCCCTTTGCCACCCTGTACACGTGTAGCTGTGCGATTGGCCGAGGCCCAGATCAACGCCGACGACCAGCTGCTGCCAGACTACTCCGTTCAAGTCGTGCCGGTCAACACAAGCCTCTCCACCACCCAGGCTGCAGCGGCAGGTAACGCTGCTGAGCTTCTGTGTGGTTTATATGGTATATTTCGGCTGAGCTCAGGTCCAACGACGACCTGCTGCCAGACTACTCCGTTCAAGTCGTGCCGGTCAACAACACTAGCCTCTCCACCACGCAGGCTGCAGCGGCAGGTAACCCTCTTAAGTCGACGAAGAGGCTGGGAGTGATACTTTCAGTGAGCTCAAATGCGTGCGTATGATCGTCGCGGACGAGCACCTGCCGGCGAAATACATAACTGATGTCGTGGCGGTTAGTATTATTTTTGGGGCGCCAAAAAAGTGGTCAGCACTAGCCTTTTTCATCACATTCTCGAGTTGTTGTGTTGTTCTGGAAATACAATGAGGCATTTTTGCTCTCTTTCTCTCTATCTTCCTCCTTCCACAGTGGTGCAGACGCTGCTGGCAAAAAGGGTGGGAGCAGCAGTTGGGCGGATGACGTCCTCTCAGGCGCACGTGCTCTCAGCCATCCACACTCAAGTGCAGGTAGGTGTACGTGTCCAGCCAGGTGACTCTTGAGTCGGCTGAAAGGTCGCAATGCTAGCAATACGACTTGTCCACCACTCTCTCACCCGCCTCTCACTTTCTCGTATACCCCCCCCCCCCCACACCCCCGAACCGAACAGCTGCCTACAGTCTCCTACTCTGCCATGGACCCCTCTCCCTCCGCCGCCTCCTACCCGTTCTTTGCCCGCACCATCCGCAGCGACGCCCTCGAGATGCAAGCCATAGCAGGTGAGACGAGACTTGAATAATCTTTTGAGTCAACGCGAAGACCCCTCTCTCTCTCTCTCTCTCTCTGCCGCGCCATGCCCTTTCTTCCCCCGCACCATCTGCAGCGACGCCCTCGAGATGCAAGCCATAGCAGGTGAGACGAGACTTGAGTCGACGCGAAGACTGCTCTCTCTCTCTCTCTCTCTCTCTCTCTCTCTCTCTCTCTCTCTCTCTCTCTCTCTCTCTCTCTCTCTCTCTCTGCCACGCCATGCCCTTTCTTTGCCCTCACCATCCACAGCGACGCCCTCGAAATGCAAGCCATAGCAGGTGAGCCGTGAGTCCTCGTCACACCGGGTGAGAGACCCGATTCCTCTCCATAGCAGGTGAGACCTAAGTCCTTCTGTGTCAGGTAGGTATCTGTGCCTGAGTGGTACCATAGCGCTGGTGCTCATGCCCCACACCTCTCATTCTGCTCCCCAATCCCCCCCCTCCCCCCCCCCCCCCTCCCCATCCACTCCCGTATGCCAGACCTGGTGGCGCATTTCAGCTGGCTTGAGGTGATCACCATCTACAGTGACGACGACTATGGCAGGAACGGAGTCAACCAGCTCACTGTGCTGCTCGATAAGGTCAGCCGACTCGCTAATGTTCCTTTCAATGCTCGTTCTTCTTTGTATCCTTCTTCTTCTGATTCCATTTTGGCCTCTGAGCACTGAAGAAACCTTTTCGAGGGGGCGTTCACAGGAATCGCCACCTGTGGACGCCTCTTCTTCGCTAGCAGGCCCCATCGTCTGCTGAATGAGATTACTTCTGAGGCGCCTCAAAAGTAGCCACCTGTGGGCGCCCATCACCTGCTGCATGAAACCGGAAACTTCCTTCCCTCCCGTCCCCCTCCCATCCCACCTTCCAGGCGTCTTGCGCTGCTAGACACCTCTGCTTTCCGAAATCAAATCACAGTCCCACCTGGTCCCCCAACCACTCCCTCCAGCCCCCTTCCCTTCTCCCTCAGCTGCCCATAGACGTGGTCAAGAGCATCCCCGTGCAGCTGGACGCCTCTCTCTCGCTCTCAGCCCAGACATCCTAGTCCTCCCCGCAATCCCAACCACTCCCTCCCTATCCCAACACCCTCTTCCCCTCCAGCTGTCCATAGACGTGGTGACGAGCATCCCCGTGCAGCTGGACGCCTCCCTCTCAGACATCATCGTGCGCCTCCTAGCCGCTCAGAAGCTGGAGTCAACAGTCTTCATTCTCCAGCTGAATCTTGAGCTGATTGTGCCGGTGCTCACAGCTGGTAGGTTATTTTGGGGGGGGGGAAGGAGAGGGGGGGAGGAAAGGGGTACCAGACATCCTGATTGCGGCTCAGAAGCTGTAGTCCACGATTTTCATTCTCCAGCTGAACCTTGAGCTGATCATGCTGGTAGGTTGAGTGCTGCTATGCTGGCCGCTGGTATGTTCCGTGGCTTATGTTCCCACTCCTGACTGCTTGCCCCTCAGAATCTGGAGTCTACTGTGCTAATCCTCCAGCTGAGCCTGGAAAAGATTGTCATCATTTGAGCCCCTTCCTCCCTCCCTCCCTCCTCCGTCTTCCACGGTGAGGTGACGCATCTGAGGTGGGTATGATGACGTCTGGCTACTTGTGGGTGCATTGGATCGCCACAGGGGTCCACACGGGGGTCATGGTAAAGCCGGAGAACGCTATTGCCTTTGAGCTCTCCCCGCCCATTCGTATCCCCCCTGGTTCTCTCCCCCGCCCCGCCCCGCCCGCACCATCCCTTTCCCTAGCGTCTGAGGTGGGTATGATGGCCAGAGGCTACCCGTGGATCGCCACTGAGGGCTGGTGTCTGAGTGGGAGACCCTGCCATAGCTCACACACACCCCTATAAAATGGGTCAAGTGCCCCTAGCACACACACACCCCGATTAAATGGGTCAAGTGTCCCTAGCTCACACACACCCCTATTAAATGGGTCAAGTGCCCCTAGCTCACACACACCCCTATTAAATGGGTCAAGTGCCCCTAGCTCACTCACACCCCTATTAAATGGGTCAAGTGCCCCTAGCTCACTCACACCCCTATACCCTCCATCTCCATATTCCCCTCTCTCTCCATCGACCAGCATCGGAGGTGGGCATGATGACTCCTGGAGAAGTGTGGGGATCACCACAAAGGCGGTGGTGGCGGATCTGGAGAACCTGCCAGCCAGAGCTCTCCACGGAGGGGGGTCATGCGTCATTGTTGCCTTCCTATTCTCCCCATACCCTGTTTCCCTCTCCCGCACATCAGTGTCTGAGGTGGGCATGATGACGCCTGGATACGTATGGATCGCCACAGAGGCCGTAAGGCGGAGCTGGAGAAGCTGCCAGAGCTCTCCACGGAGGGGGGCGTCTTCCTTCCTCCTTGCCCCTGCTCTCCATTCCATGCCACCCCACATGCCCCTACCTTCCACCCCTCTCACTCAAAACAGCGTCTGAAGTGGGCATGATGGCCCCTGGGTACGTGTAGATCCTCACTGAGGGGGTGATGGCTGAGCGGGAGACCCTGCCAGAGCTCTTCACTGAAGGCTTTGTGCTCCATTGTTGCCCCTGTTCTCCCCGTACCCTGTCTGTTTCCTGCTCCCTCCCACCAGCGTTGGAGGTGGGCATGATGACCCCCGGATATGTGTGGATCGCCACCGAAGGAGTGGTGTCGGAGCTGGAGAACCTACCAGAGCTCTCCACGGAGGGGGTCATTGGGACGCGCGTCTTCGTGCCGCCCAACGCGCAGCTGTCAGAGTTTGAGCGGGCGTGGCAGGCGGATGGGGACGGGAATGCAACAGCTGGTGCTGCAGCATTGTTCCAAGAGGTGAGGGCGAGACGAGCTGTTCACCGAGGGGTGCATTGGGATGCGGGTGTTTGTACCTCTGAGCGCGGATACTCTCTTTGAGTGGACTAGCACGGATACTTTCTTTGAGTCGACTCGAGCCCGGATACTCTTTTTGAGTCGACTCGAGCACGGATACTCTCTTTGAGTCGACTTGAGCACGGATACTCTCTTTGAGTCGAGTCAAGCACGGATACTCTCTTTGAGTCGACTCAAAAGCACGGATTCTTTCTTCGAGTCGACTCAGAGGCACGGATTCCCTCGTTTGAGTCGACTCAAAGGCACGTATTCCCTCATTTGTCTCTCTCCCCCCCCTGCAGACCACACTACGCCCTCTTCGTCCATAACTCTCTCTCCCTCGTCGCACACAGCACTGGCTCCCTCCAAATATTCCCCCCGCCCCCCCTCTCTCTCCCCTTCTTTCTCTCCCCCCACTCCCCCCCTGCAGACCACACTCTACGCCCTCTTCGCCCATGACTCCCTCTTCCTCATCACACACAAGTCAGCTCCGTCCTCCTGTTTCTAATCAGCTCTCACATTCCTTCTATCCCCCCCCCCCTCCCCCCATCCCCCCTCTTTTCCCCCTCTTCTGTGTCTCTTCCCTTTCTCCCCCCCTGCAGACCACCCTCTACGCTCTCTTCGCCCATGACTCTCTCTCCCTCATCGCCCGCGGCCTCCACTCCGTCCTCTATCCCAACTCCCCCTCCTCCTCCTACTCCTCCCCTTCCCCTCCTCCTCTTCCTGCTAGCAACGCCAGTGCAAGTGCCATGGGTATCGCTGGGATAATGGCAGGGGCAGGAGTGGAAAGTACGAATGCGGGGGTGCAGGGGCTTGAGCAGTGGCAAGCAGTGAGGTTACCAAAGGGAGGAGGTGCTTCTTCCGATCTAGCCAAATTGCAAGAGAATCTCGGTGAGTTGGTTTCCTATCCCTGTCCATAGGTCTTCAAGCCTCGCTGTCTTTGTATCTACTTCCTATCTGCCTTCTTATCTGCTGATGTGTTTCCCTCTATCTTGGTCTCTCATGCAATATTTCTTTGCGCCCTACTTGTGTGTGCATGCATATGTGCATTGTGCATGTCTGCATGTGTGTGGTGCGAGCTCCTTCAGAGGGTGCAAAGCTTATGGATGCCATCGTACGAACGACATTCGATGGGGTCACTGGGAGGTGAGCTGGCTGGTAGGCTGAGCTGAGCTGAGCCCTCTCTCATGATCATTGGTTGGGATCATTGATGGGTTCTCCTATGAAGGGTGCACAGTACATGGATGCCATCGTACGAACAACATTCGATGGGGTCACTGGGTGGGAGGTGAGCTGATGGCTCCTCCTCGTACTGTTTCCCTCGCTATTCACAGTTTCATTTCCCATCATTCCAGGTTATTGTCACCCTGTCGTTGCGGCTTTGCCATTCCGTACAGAGTGATGTTACGTATGTGAAAAAGCAGTTAATTGTATTCGGAATGGAGTGGGTATACATAGGTGAGGAGTAGGAGGGGGGGTTTGGTTGGGAGGTGACCACGATTATTGGTCAATCCAATAAGTTGGGTTGGCCAACTTATTGGGGGTCCAATAATCCTAGCCAAGATTATTGGTGGGTCCAATAATCTTGGTTGGGATTATTGGTGGGTTCGAATAATTGGGAGCCCTACCAATTTGGGAACTCAACAAGGTTGGGAACCCAACCCCCAACTTGGGTGTATACACCTTAGTGGGGTGCGTATAAATACCTAAGACAAGGAAACGATGTAGGCTAATAGAATGAAAGTAGAATACTCTAACACAACCCCTTAGCCTACAGAGTGGCATAAGTCTTGGGTAGGTGAGGAGACGCAACCCCTGAATCAGGTAGTCCCCCGTGAGGATGGGCGACGGGTGGTGCTGGCGTCGGAGGAGGACGCGGGCAGCGGGTGGTGCTGCCGCCGTAGGAGGACGCGGACGACGCGTGGTGCTGCCGCCGGGAGAGGACGTGGGCGGCGCGTGGTGCTGCCGCCGGAGGAGGGCGCGGGCGGCGCGTGCAGCTGCCGCCGGAGGAGGGCGCGGGCGGTGCGTGGTGATGCCGCCGGAGGAGGACGCAGGCAGCACGTGGTGCTGCCGCCGGAGGAGGGCACGGGCGGCGTGTGCAGCGCCGAGGAGGGCGCGGGCGGCGCGTGCAGCTGCCGCCAGTGGAGGTCATGGGCGGCGCGTGCGGCTGCCGCCGGAGGAGGGCGCGGGTGGCGCATAGTGCTGCCGCCGGAGGAGGGCGCAGGCATGCTGCTGCCGTCGGAGGAGGGCGCGGGCAGCGCGTGCACCTGCCGCCGGAGGAGGGCGTGGGCGGCCCGTGGTGCTGCCGCCGGAGGAGGGCGCGTGCAGCATGTGCAGCTGCCGCCGGTTGAGGTCACGGGCGGCGCGTGCGGCTGCCGTCGGAGGAGGACGCGGGCGGCGCGTAAGGCTGTCGCCGGAGGAGGGCGCGGGCGGCACGTGGTGCTGCCGCCGGAGGAGGGCGCGGGCGGCGCGTGGTGCTGCCGCCGGAGGAGGGCGCGGGCGGCGCGTGGTGCTGCCGCCGGAGGAGGGCGCGGGCGCGCGTGCAGCTGCCGCCGGAGGAGGGCGCGGGCGGCGCGTGGTTCTGCCGCCGGAGGAGGGCGCGGGTGGCGCATGAAGCTGCCGCCGGAGGAGGGCGCGGGCGGCGCATGAAGCTGCCGCCGGAGGAGGACGCGGGCGGCGCGTGCTGCTGCCGCCGGAGGAGGAGGTGCTGCTGCTGCTGCTGCTGCTGCTGCTCCAAGCAGCGGCTGCGGCTGCCGCCGGAGGAGGAGGTGCTGCTGTTGCTGCGGGCGGCGTGTTCGGCTGCCGGCGGCGGAGGAGGTGCTGCTTCTGCTGCGGGCGGAGCGTACGGCTGCCGCCAGAGGAAGAGGTGCAGCTGCTACGGGCGGCACGTGCTGCTGCCGCCGGAGGAGGAGCTGCAGCAGGGGGAAGGGAGGTGTGAGGGGTGGCTGGAGGGCCCCAAGGAAGAGGTAGGGAGGTGAGAGGGGGGCGGGAGGAGCGGAGAGGGGGGGTTAAGGAGCCGCTGAGGGGAGGGGAGTGGGTGGAGGTCGGGCGGAGGGCGGATTAAGGAGCCGCTGAGGGGAGGGGAGAGGAGGAGGATGAGCAGAAAGCGGGTTAAGGAGCAGCTGAGGGAAAGGGAGGGGAGAGGGGGAGGACGGGTGGAAGGCCTGTTCAAGAGCTGCTGAGCGGAGGGGAGAGGGAGAGGACGGGCGGAAGGCGTGCTGGGAGTCGCTGAGGGGAGGAGAGGGGGAGGACGGGTGGAAGGATGCTGGGAGTCGCTGAGAGGAGAAGAGAGGGGGAGGACGGGCGGAAAGCGGCCTCAAGTGCCACTGAGGGGAGGGGAGAGGGGGAGGACTGGCGGGAGTGGGGCTAGGAGCCGTTGTGGAAAGGGGAGAGGGAGAGGACTAGCGGAAGGGGGGCTAGGAGCCATTGAGGGGAGGGGAGAGGGAGAGGACGGGCGGAAGGCGGGCTGGGAGCCGTTGAGGGGAGGGGAGAGGGGGAGGACGGGCGAGAGGCGCTCTGAAGAGCCACAGAGGGGAGGGGAGACGGGGAGGACGGGCGGGAGGCGGTCTGAAGAGCCACGGAGGGGAGGGGAGAGGGGGAGGACGGGCGGGAGGGGGGCTAGGAGTTGTTGAGGGAAGGGGAGAGGGGCAGGACGGGCGGAAGGCGTCGCAGGGCTACTGTTTTAGCCTTGGTTCGGGTGCTATCTCTTGGAGATCCACTCGCTCGTCGTCTGTTGCTCACTCAAGCTGTGAGGCTGAGATCTACGCTGGTGCCATGGCGGCACAGGAGCTCCGCTGGCTGACCTTCTTGCTCACAGACTTAGGTGAGCGGCCTAGCTCTGCCCCGGTCCTGTACGCTGACAACAAGGCCATGATACTCCTGTGTCAGGAGCCTCATCTTGAGGGCAGAGCGAAGCACATCCAGCTGCGGTACTTCCTCCTGCGCGAGCTACAGCAACGCCGCCAGGCCCGCGTAGTACACTTGGCCTCTGGTGGCAACACAGCTGATATCTTTACGAAGGCGCTTGCGCCTAAAGATCATCAGCGGCACAGTGTACAGCTCGGTCTAGTTCATGTAGCCACTCACTTGCTAGGACCTTGACGTTGTACTGTCCTATATATATATCTATATATATGTACTCAGACTGGACTTGTGTCCTCTCCCAGTGGCTGGACTAGTAGTGCCGCCCTGGTCTTGTTCTTGTCTTGTCTGTACCCCATTTTGACTGGTCCTTAGACCCTTGTCTCAGTGGCTAGACTAGTAGTGCCGCCCTGAGCTGCTTGTTCAGGATTTGCCCCTATGCAGTCTAGGGGGTGTGTCAAACATATGTAGAACATATATTGGTATAGACTGTATAGGGTCACCTCGTAAAGGGTACAACACTCTATAGGTATATACCCTTGTTGTCCCTCTGTATTCTACACTTGTTAAATTTTAGTTTCTGACAAACAGGGCCTGGTCGTTTGGAAGCAAACATGTATGAGCCCCTGGGGATTGAGGGCATGTAGTGTGATCCTAGGGGTTAGTATTGGTTGCTCCAAGGGCCTGTGACGGTCCCAGTGCCGAATGCCTGTTCCAAAGCCTGTGATGGTGCCAGCGCCAATGCCTGTTCTGATGTGAGTGATGGTGCCAGTGCAAACGCCTGTACCAATGCCTGTGACGGTGCCAGGCCCAATGCCTGAGGCAGCAGCTCTGGCAGTGGTTGGGGGTGTGGCTCTGGCAGTGGCTGGTATGATGACATCGAGGGAATCCCCTCGAACTCCAGATGCTGATGGCCATTCAGTTGCTGCTGCTGGTGGTGCCTCTGCGGAAAACTGACTCCTTCCACACCCACTTCTTCCCCCACTGGGTGCTGATGCTTGTGCTCTTGACCACCTTTCTCCCTCGTCCCTCCCTGCTCCAGCGCCCACTCGGGCAGCGCTGGATCAGGAAGCCAGGCTGCCAGTGGCCGTCCCTGTGGCTCACTGGCCTCACTGGCCTCACTGGGCTCAGTGGGCAGGTAGGAGGCAGTCCCATGCAGCCACAGGAGAGCCACGGGCGTGTCGAGAAACAGAGGGTCATTTTCTGGCACTGTGCTGCGTGCGCCCATGAAGGGAAACATCTCCTGTCCCGCAGAACCATTCTCAAAGGAGAGCGTCCCTCCCAAGCAGCTGCGAATTCCCCTGGGAACAGATCCAGTAGGAGCTGTGAGTTGGGTGGGCAGAGGCACTGGCAGAGGCGCTGGAAGAGGCGCTGGCAGAGCTGCCTGGGCAGAGAGAGCGGCTGGAAGTGGCGCTGGCAGTGCTGCAAACGGCACACTGACGCTAGGGTCCTCGCTGCTGAATCCCAGCAGCACATCATCTGGAAGGGCGCTCTCTGAACCCACGCGAGACCACAGCGCTGCCTGCACTCCGCTGCTCTCTCCCCCCTGCTGCTGGAAATGGTCTTCCAAGGACTGCGAGTGGTGCAGCGTGCGGCTGGCCCACCCACTCCCAGCCCGACTTGACACCAGAAGCCCGCCGTAGTCCTCCCTTGCCCGCTTCACGGGCAGCTGGCGGGCAGCAGAAGCATTGGGAAAAGCGGCATTGAATAACCCAGCACTGGAGACAGCAGCGGCATTGGGGAAAGAAGCAACACTGAAGTCAGCAGCAGCAGCAGCAGCAGTGGAGGTGGCGGCAAGTGGGGCAGCAGCATCAATGGAGAGAGCAGCGGCATGGGAAGCAGCAGCAGCGCAGAAAGCAGTCGCGAGGCTCGCCTGGGCTGTAGGGCGGCGGGCATTAGGCGAGAGGAAGACGCTCCTGCACTCGTCAAACGACAGCCCACCGAAAGAAAGAGCAGGCGATGCTGACCCGAGTGAACCCACGCCAGTCTGCTGCTCTGGGTGATGGTGGTGCTGCTGCTCCTGGTGCTCCTGCCGCTGCTGCTGCTGGTGCCGCTGGTGCTGCTGGTGCTGCTGGTGCCAGTATTGCTGCTGCTGGCCGTCACGCCTCAGCAGCAACTGGCTGTGCGTCTCCAAGGCTGTCTGGGGGAATGCACCGCCTCCCAAGTGCTCTCTCAGGAGATCTTCCTGAAAGCGCTGGACGAATTTCCTGCCACCAAGCAGAGAGACACGGCGACAGAACAGGCGCTCAGAAAAGGCTCAGCCCTGCCGAAACCCGAAGTGATAGAAACGAACCTTCTGAGAAAGATGTAACGGTTACAGCACGACTTATTGTTTCTCCTCAGCTGACCGCTCCTCCCCAACTCGCCCCACTGCCTCGTGCCACAAAGCAGCGCATGGCGCAGCAGAACCGCGTCCTCCTGCCATGCGTGGGTGATCGTGTTTAGTCGGCAACGATGAGGAGAAATGATGAGTAGCGTGGAAGAAATGGTGAGACAAAGTTGAGACCACGGAGACATCGACATTGGGATGAACCATGGACGTTGAGCCCCGAGCATCATGGCACAGAATGACGTCTTCCGGCCATGAACATTGCATGTGAGGCCACGAGCGTATCTTGAGACACAGGGAGCGCGAGTTTGACGCACATAATTTCAACGCGTCTCGAGGCGGGTTTGATTCTTGCGAATTCTAAAATATCAACTTTCAACGCGTCTTGCGGCGCATTGAGCACATCCCAAAATTCCAGGATGCGGAGTAGGTATACAGTAGCTACGGCATAGGTATACGTCTGCTACGGAGTAGCCTTGCTATACGAACAACTATACATGCAATATAGGAGAGATCCACATTTTTAAGAGCTGGCAGCTCTTTCCAGGCGAAATGCAACTCAAGAATGGATCAATCCCACTTCCGGAAAAAATTCGCCGGGTCTCTAACAGAAGCTCAGCAGCTCGCTCCACGCAGATGACGGGACAAGTACCGGGTTAAGGGGGGGGAGGGGGGGGGGGGCATCGCAAAAATTCAGTGTCCGAAAAGCATTTGCGCAGTGTTGTTGCGAACACCTTTCAGGTGGTTTCCAAATTGGTGGGTCCAAACACTTCGCGGTGTAAGTTGGAAAGACCTCGCAGATGGTTTGTCAAACACCACTCAAATGGTTTGTCAAACGCCACGCAGATGGTTTGCCGACACCGCGCTGATGTTATTTGGTCGTACGCGATAACACCTCCACGTCACCATGCGGTCATGCTGGAAGAGAACTTTTGTACTGTGCACGAAGACCATTACAAGTTTGTTCGCGTCACGCTTACATCTATTCATTGTGTTTGAGGCGTGTTGTTGTCCTTTTTTTGGTACATTCTATATCCGTTACTGCCACATTCGCTAGTACTCCATTGCCACAGATATTAGGCTCATTAATTGGTATAGATGGCCAGTAGAAGAAACACATCAGTGTCACAAGAAAACACATCAGTGACACAAAATCTCAGGGTTTAGACCTCTACCCGCATCCAAGCTGTGATCGCCCTACCAACCGCATCCGGACAAAAGGACCACTACCCTGGAAGTAAATCGGAAACGACCCGTACGATGGCATCAACCCCCTCCTTCCTCGTTGAGAGAGCACATACTGCTGCTGCAAGCCCCCACCTACTCCCACCGCTGCCGCTGCAGCTATGATAAACCTAGCTAACCACCAAGGTATGAGTCTGGCCCTGCTGCTGCTTGTGGTTCGTTCATCCCACAACCCCCCTCCCCCCCCCCCCCCCCACACCACAGGCTGCTGCTGAGACCCCTCCCTCGCTGCTGCCACCTGTGCCTCATTCTCCATATCCCCTCTCCCCCCTCCCCCCCAAGGCTGCTGCTGAGACCCCTGCCTTGCTGCTGCCACCTGTGCCTCATTCCCCAAATCCCCTCTCCCCCCACCCGAAGCTGCTGCTGAGACCCCTCGCTTGCTGCTGCCACCTGTGCCTCATTCCCCGAATCCCTCCCCCCACCCTAGGCTGCGGCTGAGACCCCTGCCTTGCTGCTGCCACCTGTGCCTCATTCCCCGAATCCCCTCTCCCCCCACCACAGGCTGCTGCTGAGACCCCTCCCTTGCTGCTGCCACCTGTGCCTCATCCCCCAGTCCCCTATCCCCCCCCTCCCCAAGCTGATGCTCATATCCATTCCTCGCGCCCGCTGTTGCCTCAACCCTTTAACTCCCCCCCCCCACCACAGCCTGATGCCGAACCCACTCATGCGCTGCTGCCGGTGCCTCATATCACAAATGCTCCCAACCACAACTTCCAGTTCTTGCCGCTGCTGTGAGCGGCTTTATCAATACCCACTATAGTGTGATACCCAAATGTCAAGGCCACTCACATCCCTCAAAAGGAACCCGCCCTCGAGCGCCCCCACCCCAACCTGCTGGTCCTGAAAGCCCCGCACACCACCCGCCCAGCCCACCTGTTTCACATCATTTCGCTGCCAGCACCCCACCCCTCAAACGACGCTGCCACATCATGCATCTGCAAACACCCCATGGTTATGAACCCAGCACACGCCAGTACTGGCGCTTGCAATAAGCCCCTCCCATTGTGGGATGGCTGCCCCTTCAGAATGATGCTGACAGACCCTTCCCTCCAGAGCCCACGCCAATACTTGGCTCCACTTCCGTCCCAGTTGTATCCGTCCCCTGCCCTGAACGGTGTGGTGATGCCACCCCTGCACATACCTGCCTCACCCCTGCAAAAGGACCCTTAATCCTTAGCCTCTCCCTCTCCACCTTTGGGCGCCTTCCCCTTGCCCTCCCTCCCTGGTTCCTGCCACTCGTCCTTGAAGCCACTCTCATGGACGTAAAGTCCATACTCTCCCCATTTCCACCCCCGCATGTCCTTGCTGTACTCCTTGGGGTAGTTGCTGAAGTGGTCAATGACCACCTGTCGCACCCTCTTGTGAAGGTCCGTTATCCAGGCCTTGTTCTTGGGGTGTGAGTTAGAGAGGCCCATCGTGGTGTGCCTGCGGCGGGTCAGCCCATAGTCGACCTGGGGAAGAGGGTGGCCGAGGGGGTTTGTAAAAGGGTCAGGGAGGTGGGGGACGGGAATGGGGTTGCATGAGCCGAGCACAATCGGGAGGATACTAGAGCCCAAGCCACGGCGTCCTTTAAGGCGCGCTCCCCGCCACTTACCACCATGATAATCCAGGCAATGTGATACGCCTTCAGACAGAGCTTCCCCGCCACAGCCCACTGCTGAAACGCATCGAACGCCGCCTGAAAGAAGATCTTGTTGGCAAAAGGCTGCCCGGAGTGCACCCCTGGGGGTGGCTTCGCCGAGCCCCAGGTGCTCACCAACTGCCCAAACCTCCTTCCTGTTGGGGGTAACGGCAGCACAGATGGAGGTGCATGATGCTCAAATGGTGTGAGGATATGGGGAGTGAACACGAGGTATTAACTTCAATGACATGCGCCCTACTAAACAACTGTGACCGCGCAGCTACATGAGTACTTACGAGGCTTGAAGTCATGCCAGAGGGCCATCTTGTCATCAAGGTCCACATGGATCTTGGAGCCCCTCGCCCACTTGACCTTCACCCCTAGCTCCGTCAACACCCGCCTCTTGATCAGGAACCCCCGCTCGTTCTTCCACTGCGTCCATACACGCTTGAACTTATCGTTGTAGTTGTTGTCGGTCATTGCCTCCTGAACAGCCACGAAAGACACGTCGTAGCCCTCCATCACCAAAACCGTGTGAAGGTCCACCATGCGGAGGTAGAAGGTCGTGTAGAAGTCAATGCCCGCATCAGGCGCATCGATGCACATCCGGTCGCGCGAGGTTTCGTAATGGATCTGTGGACGGATGGGCGTCGGGGGGGGGGGGGGGAATGGGGGGGAGAGAGGGCGGGGACAGACAACCAGAGGCATGGGGAGACGGAGGGGAAATGGCAGCAAAGCAGATGCCAAAAAGCAGGTGAGATGTGGAGAGAACTTGTGTGCCACACCAGGAATGAGAGAAGCTATGGGTATGGGTGGGAGGGAGGGGAACAAACATGCAAAGGATGGAGGGAGAAGTACTCCTTGTTGCCAGAGGCAGAGAACCTGTGGGAAGGGGCAGGAGGGAGAGAGTAGGCGGGCAAGGGCAGCGACATGAGGGAGAGATCTCGAGGTCAATGAAAGGATGGAGAGAACGTGTGGATAGGGGCACGAGGAACAGGGTAGGCTGGCAGGGGCATCCAGGGTAACGACATGAGCGAGCAAACCTGCGGACAGAGGGCAGGAGGGAGAGAACATGTGGAGAAGGGCAAGAGGGAGAGAACCTGTCTGTAAGGGCAGGAAGGAGAGGGTGGGCGGGCAAGGGCACACAGGGCAAGGTCATGAGGTGGACAACCACCGGCCAATGGCATGTGAGTGATCTGTGGGCAAGGGCAGGATGGACAGGGTAGGCAGGCAAAGGCAATGAGGGCATCGACATCAGGGGGAGAACCTGTGGGCAGAATGGGGGTGAGACAGAGAACCTGTGGGCAACAGCAGGGGGGAGAGGGTCGGTGGCCAAGAGCATACATGGCATTCCCATGAGGGAGATATCTCACGGTAAGGGCAGGAGGGAGAGAACCTGTGGGCGGGGGCAGGGGGGAGAGGGTAAGGGGGGAAAGGACATACAGGGCAAGCTCACGAGGAGGAGAACTTGGGGCCATGCGCTGGATGGAGAGAACCTGTGGACAAGGGCAGGAGGGAGAGGGTCGCACGGGCCTGAGGATGACGAGATCCAACGCAAAGGAAATTGTCACCAGATTCTGTCAGGCCAGCCGAGCGGTTGTAAGTGGGGCACGTACAAGCAATGGACACCAAGTCGACATGCAAGTCTTGCCTTGCAAGGAAGAGCGATTCATTGATGACTCACCCCAATCTTCTTCAGCGAGGGCATGCCCTTCTTCCGTTGCACCACTGCCATCCCCGTGCTCTCGCCCACCAGATCCGTGCCGGTATCGGGGCCGCTGGATGCGGAAGCGAGTCGCGGAAGGCCTCGATCCCGCTCTCCCTTAAACTCCTGGATCTTCCCTATGGCCTCCCTCAACGCCCGCCACAGCAGTTGTGGTGTCACGTAGGTCGGCATCTCTTCTGCATCCGCAATGTCTTCCCAGGAGAAGCGCCCCCCCTTGGAGTCCTCACCCTCAGGCCGCCGACGCTTCCCGTCATGCCCGCCAGCGCCTTCATACTCGGCCGCAGCGCGTTTGCGCTGAGAACCTGTGGTGGCATGCTGATGTGTCTGATGGTTCCCCTCAGGCCCATACTCCCCCGTGGCGCATGCCCACATCCCACCAGCAGCACGGCCATCATCACTTTGCTGCTTCCGGCGTTCCAATCCAGCATGACCCGCCGCGCGCCCACGTGTGTCCGCCACACTGATACGCAACTCGCTGCCACTCTGAGCATTGTTCCCGCCACGCCACGGGCGACGCTCGTTCGCAGCTTCGCGAACCCTGGGTGGGTTCTTCTCCGACGCCTCCTCATCGTTGTCCTCCCCTCCGTAACCTGAGTCCGCCTTCTTGGATCCCCTCGGGTACTTGTCCAGTGCATCCTTTCCGCTCTTGTTAGGCTTCCACTGGGCAACCACCTCCTCCTCATCACTGGATGAGGCCGCCTTTGCGTACACGTTGCTCCGGTCGCCGCCGCGTTGACGCTTCTTGTGGCAGGGCTCGAGCTCCCCCGCGGACTCACTCTCTGAGTCGCTTTGCTCATTCCCGTAGGCGTCGTCATCATCCTTCGACTTCCATCCC